AGCGACTCCTGTTACACAGTGCAAGGCTACAGTCACACAAAGCAGCCTTTTTATCTTTAATTGATGGATCATCATTGTCCTAAAAAAGGTCCAGGAGTTAAATCTTCCATTCTTAAATGTTGCTGTGAGAACCCATCTGAGCCTGGAATTTCATTCCTCTGCTGTCACAAGGACTGAACCTCACTGTAACCAGATGTGTGCTTTGAGTCTGCCTGCTCCTTTGGCTGCTTTGTGTGACTGTAGCCTTGCACTGTGTAACAGGAGTCGCTGGAGCTCTGGGGTAAACGGAGGTGGTGGAGGAGGTGGAAGTGGTGGAGCAGCTGGAGGAGGTGGAGCAGGGGGTGGTAGCAGCGGAGGAGGAGGTGGCGGCGGCGGAGGAGGAGGAGGAGGTGGAAGCGGGAGTACATCAGGCAGGTCATCCACAGCTGCTCGTGATTCTCGTCGCCAGACCAGAGTGATTCGCACAGGAAGAGATCGTGGCTCTGGACTTTTAGGTAGCCAGCCCCAGCCGGTCATACCAGCTTCAGTCATTCCTGAGGAACTTATAACACAGGTACAGTATGCTCAACCTCAGCACTCGTATCTTTTAATTAAATAGTATCTGCAAACAAATAAAAGGCAAACACATATTTTTGTGAAATTAATGTTGGTGAAAGGTATTTTCTGCTCTTAAATTCTTATTCCTTCACCTAGGCTCAGGTAGTCCTGCAAGGGAAGTCAAGAAGTGTGATCATCAGGGAGCTCCAGAGGACTAACCTGGATGTTAACCTCGCTGTTAACAACTTGCTCAGCCGGGACGATGAAGACGGAGATGATGGAGATGACACTGCAAGTGAATCCTACCTCCCTGGAGGTGTGTGACAAGATGTTTTGGCATTCTTAAACACTAAATAATACATGAATATACAAGTTGTGCAACATAGCAAAGATTGTTTAAACAAATATTACAAGTACAATATCCCAGACAGTTTGGCATGATCAAAAACAAAATGTTTGTTTAATAAAAAACTTGAATCCTTTTTTTTTCTTTTTTCTCCCATGCAGAAGATCTAATGTCCCTGCTAGATGCAGACATTCACTCCGCTCATCCCAGTGTTATTATTGATGCTGATGCCATGTTCTCTGAGGACATCAGCTACTTTGGTTACCCGTCTTTTAGACGCTCATCACTTTCACGCCTGGGGTCCTCCAGAGGTAACTCACCTTTGTCTAATGAAATGGGGTTGGAGAGGCTTTGGTGGCGGTACTGGTGATGGTTTTTGTTTGCAATGGTGGCTTCAAAAGACAACACAACCATAAAGATCAGGAGAAAAGTTTTAGCAATACTGTATATAAGTCCATTGAATCAATAGTTTAAAAAAAAAAAACACATTTCATTAGTACAGTGTTCATGTTTTCCTTGTTTTTGACAGATTGCAGCTGGGGGTGTAACAACTAAAATTATTATTAACTAAAATTTATATATTGGATCAATTAGTCCACTGAAAATGTTTTTGATTTGTTGCATAATTTTTCTAATCATGATAAATGTTTGGTGTTGTGTGCTGCATGGCTGTAGTACATACTGTGAGCTCTCTGAGAAAGGCCCGCTAGGCCCACCTGTTGTAACAGGGACCCTAAACAGCAGTCTATTCATTAAAAACCAAGCAAACAAACAAGATAAAAACTGCGTAGCCCACTTTCAGCCCAAATGCATGCTTTCTTTTTTCCTATCCACTTCCTGTTTTACTTTACATTTAACACACAAGCGTGCAAAGTGACTCACGGTCAGTATTTTTTAAACGCCCACTCGATCTTCAATACTGCAACTGATTGATTTGCATTACAGTTGACCTAAAAATATTTCTCTATTTTTAAAAACGTTTTGACGGGTCTTTCCCAGAGAGTGGCTCACTTCTATCCCACTGGTGTGACCTTATTGCATACCAGTTCTCCTTCTTCCCCTAGAGCGTGACTCAGAGCTGTTGCGTGAACGTGAGTCTGTCTTGAGGTTACGTGAGCGCCGGTGGCTTGACGGGGCTTCCTTTGACACCGAGCGAGGCTCCACCAGCCGTGAGGGTGAGCCTAGCCTCGACAAGAAAAGCATCCCAGTCCAGAGTCCCGTTTCCCTAGGAGAGGAGCTCCAGTGGTGGCCTGACAAGGTAAGAAGAAATCTAGAAACAACACTTCCTGAAAATGGAAATGCAAAAGTTTTAAAATGTTGAAGGTGCTACAATTCTGACCTTTTCAACATTTTTGATGCATCAAAGAACAATCTTCAGTTTTCTAGTTTTAACATGTTTTTACTGTTAAATTCTGAAGTCAAAACATTTTGATTTTACACACTTGAGAATGTTTTCTAAACTTAAGTAAATACTGTGAGTTTTAGTATTACTTTACTACGTTATTATTTGTTACACATTACATGTAATGCATAAACATAGGCTCAACAGCAAAAATACTCAGGAACTTATCCTATGGTTATAAATTCCTGATCAGTGTTTCTCTTTGATCTGACATCATAGTCTCCACTGCATGTTTTTTTGTTGTTTGTCTCTCCGTTAAATGGACATTTATACGTTCTTTTCCAGGATGGTGTGAAGTTTGTGAGCATTGGAGCCATGTTCTCTGAGCTGGTAGCTGTGAGCTCCAAAGGAGAGCTGTATCAGTGGAAGTGGAGCGAACCTGAACCCTACAGGAATGCGCAGGTGGAGGATTATACTAGCACAAATGAAACTGCCAAATATGTTAGAACATTTGTCTTTAGTTGCCTTAAGAATATTAAGAATATTGGCTAATAAAACCACACGGTTTATTACATTATAGAGAGCTCATGTTTTCAACTTCTTTTGTCATTTGTGGCATCAGAATCCTTCCATTCATCACCCTCGTGTGTCCTTCCTGGGCCTGGCTAACGAGAAGATCACTTTACTGGCTGCCAATAGTATTAGAGCCACTGTAGCAACAGAGTCCAACAAGGTAGTTCACCGTTTCTTATTTAGGAACTCTTGTGCAGCCTGAAGACTGTATTTGACTGGATTCAGATATGACATGTTTAATAATGAAACCGTTATTTAACTACACTAATTGTGTTTGTTGTGAAGGTGGCCACCTGGGTCGATGATACTCTGAGCACCGTAGCCTCTAAACTGGAGCACAGCGCTCAGGCTTTCCCTGAGCTACAGGGGGAGCGCATGGTGTCCCTGCACTGCTGTGCACTTTACACATGTGCACAGCTGGAGAATAGCCTCTACTGGTGGTGAGGATAAAATCTTTATTTTTTGTTTTGTTAATTAAAATGGAAAGTAAATCTCTGCAGCGTTAATCATGAGCAAACATGTTTATTTGGTATAACGACAACAAAAATAACCAGATAATGGCAGAAGTTTTGGTGATGTCTTTGTTTTTTTAACCTATAATGTCAAACATTTTTATTAAACCCTTTTTTTTGTTTTGTTTTCAACTAGACCATTTATGATATATTTTTTTGTTTTTTGCATTCTTTAATTTGTTCTAAAGGTGAACAATTAACTAAACATAAAAAAAGGAAATTAAACATTAACATTTTTTTTTTTTTTTTTTTTACTCTGTCCAAGCAAAATTTTGCTTTCTATGCTTGTCTAGATTTTAGCATAATTATGTAAATCCTGCTAAAGTCAACACGGTCAAAAAACGGTTTTGGTCAATTTCAAGAGACAGTTTTGTGTCATGATTATAAAGAGAAAGGTGTGAATGGAATAAACCATTTGATATGTTACTATTTAAATTGTTCTGCAGGGGTGTTGTGCCTTTTAGTCAAAGAAAGAAGATGCTTGAGAAGGCCAGAGCCAAGAACAAAAAGCCAAAGTCCAGCGCCGGCATATCCTCAATTCCCAACATCACTGTGGGAACGCAGGTAAGAAAATAATGGAATTATCACTGTGTTAAATTGACTTCATCTTTGGATCTTTGTCAAGAACATTTGTTCAAGAAGTGTTTGTGGCGATGTAAATAAATTATTGGGTTCCTCCTTTAGGTGTGTCTGAGGAATAACCCCCTCTACCATGCTGGTGCAGTGGCCTTTTCTGTCAGTGCCGGAATTCCCAAAGTAGGCGTCCTGCTGGAGTCTGTTTGGAACATGAACGACAGCTGCAGATTCCAGCTGCGCTCACCAGAGAGCCTCAAGAACATGGAGAAGACCACAAAGACCCAGGAAATCAAGTCAGTCTCATTTCTTTTGACCAAAAGGTTTAGCAGTGCTTCTGAGCAATGTTCAGTCATTTGTTAAATGTAATATGGTTCTAGTTACCTAATGTATTTTTGCTGCTGCACTCATAAAAGCAGCAGGTAAAGCAATGCAAATATGTCACGTCCTTCTCTTCAGAATGGAAAGTAAACCGGAACTGGTGAAGACTGAGATGGGTCCTCCTCCATCCCCTGCTTCTACCTGCAGCGATGCTTCCTCCATTGCGAGCAGTGCTTCTCTGCCCTACAGTACGTCCCCTCCCTCATGCTCTCTCTTCCTCTTTGCTGTCTCTACAACACTCAAGTCTTGACTTTCCCATCTCCAGGGCACAAAACCAATTTCTTTCTCACTCTGTGCTCTCATTAGTCCTTTGACTTCGAAGCAGATGGTGCACAGGCTTTTATCAGCACCTTTTTTTTTCTGCAGCTTGTGTTCCTGTGAAGGAAATGTGGTCAGCTCACAGTATATTTACGTGTCTTCTTTTTTTTTTTTTTTTTACAACTTCTTATCATATAAACCATATTGCAAGCTGTCAAGTGTGATAATTTCTTTTCTTTTTCATCCTCTCACTAGTTTTGTTTTTAATTATTTAGTCAGCAGCATGTTTATGGCTCTAATTAGTTCATCTGTAACCATTCAGTTCTCTCAATTTATTAGCTGTTCCTGATTTCTCTTGTAGAGAGTCTAATGTAGGCAGGGGGTTAGATAGAGCCTTTCTCTGTCAGTCTAAGGTGCAAAAAGTGGAGTGTGTCCATGACACTTTAATATGTGTATAACAACCATTTACAGTCTTCATTATAGAAAAGACAGTGTTTTCCCTTTTACTCTTTGATTAAAATATGGTAAAGTATATTTATACTGTGTTCCTTTTAGAACGGAGGCGTTCCACCCCAGCTCCCAAAGAGGAGGAGAAAGTGAACGAGGAGCAGTGGCCTCTCAGAGAGGTGGTCTTTGTGGAGGATGTCAAAAATGTTCCTGTAGGAAAGGTTGGTGAATCTGAAACATGGATGTGCTGTATACTTTAGCCTCACAAGGATTTATTGATTTTATTTTTTAAGCAATTATTACAAAATAAAATGCTGCAATCATTTATAAATGGGAAGGAAAAATTGCTCAACTTGTTCCAGTTTGAAGTATGAAGTCTGACGAAATATGCTTTATTTGTTGGTGACTGAATTTACCTGGACAAGTTATCTCGTTACAACAATGTCAAAACCAGGTCAAAAAGAAAATCTTATCTCAACACTGAAAAATATAAATAACAGACAACTCATTTAAATATTTTGACAAAAGAAATGTTAACCATTGCTCTAGTTCAACAGTTGGACTGTAGAACGTCACAGAAAACAGACACCATATATTTAGCACCTTTCTTTAGGGATGTAGACTTGACCAATACACACTAGACTATAGTGTGGTGCAACAACACTGCTACCACAGATGGACCTGCCTGTTTACTGGCTTTGTTTGCTCAGGCATAGCTATGCTAATTATTAAGAAAAAAGTGTTGTACAAAATATGTTTATCTGCCAATAGGGGTGGGCGATATGGCTCAAATATAATATTGTGATATTTCAGAGCATTCTGATGATAACGATAAATTTTGTGATAGAACAAAACAAAAAAAAAGCAGAAACCATAGTTATTTATTTGACAAAATTAACATGTTGCTTTGCAGTATTATATAAACTTTAAAAAAACAAGGGGTAATTTTACTGAAATTACTTTATTTAGTAAAGTATTCAGTCTCCAAGTATATAAAAAAAAAAGATCCTTCTGTTATTTAGATTGACAAAGTCTGCACAAAATATAGATCAATAAATCCACCACAAAAACTAAAGTGCAGGTGAAGTTCCCCCAAAATAACTAAATAAAATGACGCTTAAGATCTGTTGAGCATAAATGTAACGTACAACAAAAAATATGTTTCCTTTAAATGAGCTATAACTTCCAGAAGTTGTAACAAGGTGATCATCTGACCCTGAAGCTTGAGGTGTTTCAGCTTCCTCTGTTCCTGCAGGAACGATTCATTTCTCTGATGCTCTGTCTCTGATCACCTGACTCTGTTCTTGGTCCATGGACTGTGGAACTGTCCAGTTGAGCTGTGCATGCTTGTACCGGCAGTTTAAAGCGGGGTGTGGGGAGAGAAAAAAAAGACGAGTGGCAGCTTAGAGCGGGGGAAGGGAGAGACAGCCGAGTTGTCTGTACCTGCAGTTTAGAGCTGGATGGAGAGCTGCAGCCGAACCGCGTGTTGTTTGTTTTTAGCTTTTTAGCTAGCTAGTATTGTGCGCAACTAATTAGCGTTACACCAGTACCGACATGTCTGCGCAATTTGGTTCAGTCGTTCTGCATGCTCGGTTCTGTTAAAGGGGCGGGGCGCCCTGGCATATTACGTCCTGAAATTAGCATATCACTATATTGTTTTTTTGCCCGGGCAAGCCTTTTTTTACTGGTATTATCGTGAACAATATATGGACCAGCCCTATCTGCCAATATCATTTAGTAAATCTAGTTGAAATAAAGCAAGCTGAGTTTAATTTCTGTAATTTAGAACTTTGTAAAGTCTGAAATAGTCATGAAGTCTGCGACAGTCTGAAATAGATAAAAAAAAAACACTTTACAATTGTTTTAATATTAAAACAGTGTGAAGTTTGTCTCCGTTGTAAACATTACGTCTCATCTGTATTTTTTTGTCCTCTTTTATCTTCACATTATGACTCAGGTTCTGAAGGTGGATGGTGCATATGTTGCTGTAAAGTTTCCTGGGACGTCGAGTAGCGTGAACAACCAGAGCACTGCTGCTCCCACTGACTCAGACCCATCATCGCTGCTGCAGGATTGTAGACTCCTCAGAATAGATGAGCTTCAGGTACTTGCTTGAATTATGAAGGTAGACATTACTTGTAATCTCACTGTTTCATTTGTATTCACTCTAGTTTTCTTCTTCATCAAACTCATAGGTGGTCAAAACTGGTGGGACTCCAAAAGTTCCCGATTGTTTTCAGCGAACCCCTAAAAAACTCTGTATCCCAGAGAAAGCAGAGATTCTGGCTGTAAATGTTGACTCCAAAGGTGACTTATTCTTCTAGGAACTTTTTTCCTTCTTTATAATGTGGGATACCGTAGAAATATAATTGACAATATGTCCATAAATTTGTAGTTTTTATGTAGACTGTAATCATCTGTCCATATTCTAGGAGTCCACGCAGTGCTGAAAACTGGTAACTGGGTGAGGTACTGTATCTTTGACCTGGCCACTGGCAAAGCAGAGCAGGAAAATAACTTTCCTACAAGTAACGTGGCCTTTCTGGGACAGAGTGAACGCAATGTGGCCATCTTTACTGCAGGACAGGTGAGACAAGTTCCTGCATTGTTTTTGGTTTTTAACAAATTCCTTTTACTGAAATGAGTGTGATCCAACATTAAATGTAATTTTGTTTTGTTTGTTTACCAGGAGTCTCCTGTTATCCTTAGAGATGGAAATGGCACAATTTATCCCATGGCTAAAGACTGCATGGGTGGAATTAGAGATCCTGACTGGTTGGATCTGCCTCCTATAAACAGCCTGGGAATGGGGGTACACTCTCTGGTCAATCTCCCATCCAACTCCACCATCAAAAAGAAGGCTGCTATTATTATTATGGCTGTTGAGGTAACTATTACTCCCATAAATTTGTACTTAAACATAAACATAATTCTAACAAGGTCAAGTCAGGCCCTCTGGATGGATTCTTCTTTGTTGAAATGTTTAGTCTTTTGTCCAAAATAATTTACGTGAATCATTTAGATCCGAAGAGTTTTTCAGGGGGATCAGAGGGGTGGTAGATGGCATAATTTCCCATTCAGTGTTTCCCCTAGATAACTTGCCATGGCGGGGTGCTCATCTCGTCCGTGATTTTTGTCAGGGGGGAGGGGCGGGGAAGACAGACGGAGACACGTCCTAAGCTGTGCAGCGCGCTGTTTAAACCAACAGTTTTAGAGGGGGTTGGGGGACACGGAGACAGCCGTGCTGTTTGCACTGACAGTTTTACAGTTTTGGAGCAGGGTGTGTGAGAGGAGAGAGACACATCTCAGCCGCACGCTGTCTGAACTGACAGTTCTTGTTGTTTTTTTTTTGGGGGGGGGGGGGGGGGGGTGGGGGGGGGAGAGACAGACACACATCTGAGCCGTACGCTGTTTGTATAGACAGTTTTCGAGTGGCGGGGGTGCGTTCAGCGTGAGGGTTCAGCATGAGGGAAGAGGCTGCCTTTAGCTTTTAAGCTAGCACACTTGCATTGCAAGCCGCTAGTTTAGCGTTGCGTCAGTGCCGACAGGTGGTTTGGGGTGGGGGTGTTTCTGTAGACGGGGCGCTCGGGTCTGTTGACGGGGCGGGGCGCCTCGCTTGTATAATGGTAGGGGAAACACTGCCATTGACTGGACTTGCGTAGCGCTGTATGTAGCAATGTGGATATTCTAACTGGGCCTTCCTGAAAGCAGAGAAGAAACCCAAACAAGACTCCAGCCAGACATGAGGTGAAAAGGAGGAACCCAGACAAGTCCGTTTGTTGTGGGAGTTTCAGAGAAACAGACGTTTATTTTAGGGATGCACCGATCCACTTTTTCCACTTCCGATCCGATACCAATATCTGCGGTTTAGTGTCGACCGATACTGATCCGATACCAACCTGACACAGAAAGACAGTGCTGAATTAACAAAAATGGCTAAGTCAAGTCATCTGGGCCCATTTCTGAAACGGGTCCAGATGACATGATTTAGCCATTTTTGTTTTCTACCTGGATGTTTGAGCTTACAAACCATAGGCGTCGCAACCATTATATGCGAAGGGGATATGTCCCCCCAACATTACAAAAACATTCATTTGGACCCCCTCACTTTTACTATGAAACAGTTCAGTCTGCGCAGTTTCTCTTCATGAACAAATCCATTCTACTTGATTAATAGGAGAATACTCAAGCTACTAAAACTCCACTCCAGGTTTTCCTGGTTACCTCCAACTCTAAACACAGCAAAAGTGATTCTGCTCTACGTCTCCTGCCTCGGCAGAAAATGTGCACAGGTGGAGGAGATGGAAACACCTCTGTGTTACTCAAAAAGCGTTCAATACAAAAACAACTGGACTTTATTTGTAACAGAAGACGTTTCGCTCCTCATCCGAGGAGCTTTCTCAATTCAAAGAGCAGAGAGTGAGAGATACAGGTTATAAGGCTGAGTGAGATAAGACACACACACACACACACACACATATATGTAGATTGGCAGTTCACACCTAAACACCTTCACAGTAGGTCTTTGTTCATCTAATTCACAGACGAGGCCCCTCTGTTCCCATCAAGTGTGAAAACCGGCTGGGAATCTGTTTTAAAGTTGCATTATATGTTTTTGAAAGTGGGAATCTGAGGCATCCTCCTCTGTTAAGAGACGGCTTTTCTCTTTTTTACATAAATTACTTCCTTCACCCCCCTCTCAAACCATCTGTGTTCTCGGTCCAAAATGTGCACATTTTGGTCCTCAAAAGAGTGTCCCTTATCTGTGAGATGGAGGTGAACAGCTGAGTCTTGTCCTGTGGAGCTGGCTCTCCTGTGTTGAGTCATGCGTCTGTGAAGAGGCTGTTTAGTTTCTCCAATGTAGAGGTCTGGACAGTCCTCGCTGCACTGGACCGCACACACTACACCACTCTGTTTGTGTATGGGTGTCTTGTCCTTAGGGTGGACCAGCCTCTGTCTGAGAGTCCTGCTGGGTTTGAAATGTACTGGGATGTTGTGTTTGTTGAAGATCCTTCTGAATTTCTCTGATACTCCAGCAACATAAGGGATGACGATGTTTTTCCGTCTGTTGTTGTCCTTTTTCTGTTTATTGGTGTGTTTTGTAGATTTCCTCACTGACTTGACAAAAGCCCAGTTAGGATATCCACATGTTAGAAGAGCTTCTTGAACGTGTTTCAGTTCCTTTTCCTTCCCTTCTGTCTTCGTGGGGACGCATTCGGCCCGATGTTGTAAAGTTCTGATGACAGAGAGTTTTTGTTCCAGTGGATGGTGGGAGTCAAACAGAAGATACTGGTCTGTGTGGGTTGGTTTTCTGTAAACTTCAATGTTGAGGCTGTCCTCTCTCCATTTGAACCAAACAGTCCAAAAAAGGCAGCTTGTTGTCGTTTGCATCCTCTCTGGTGAACTTGATGTTGTTATCGGCCGAGTTAATGTGTCTGGTGAACGCTTCTATTTCCTTGGCTTGGATTTTGACCCAGGTGTCATCCACATAACGGAACCAATGGCTTGGCTTAGTTCCCTCATAGTGTAGGGCTCTCTGTTCCACTTCCTCCATGTAGAGATTGGCAACAATGGGTGACACTGGAGATCCCATGGCACAGCCGTGCTTCTGTCTGTGTTACTCGCTCGCCAGTTTAGCAGCTTAGTGCGGGCAGTAGTTGACCAGGGAGGCTGATCATAAACACATATTCATGTTAGGAGGATGCTTGAGAGGAGCGCTACGTAGCTTCTTAGCTTAGCAGTAACTGTGACGCTGTAAGACGCTGCAGGTGTAAGAGACGTGGTGTGTTCAGGTGCATTAAAGTTGAAATGTCTTTAAAACCCCACACCTTATTGTCCTCAAGCTTCATGAGAAACATCATTTAGATGAGTAGTGTTGAACACAAGTACAAAAGTCTAGTGATGGTGTTTTTTATTTCTCTATTAAGACAAATCGTGCCGATCTGACGCTCTGTATTAAAGTGTATTAAAGTTAAAATGTCTTTAAAACCCACAGATGAATTTACACAAACTTGGTGAGAAACATGTTTTAAATGTGTGGAATTGAAGAAACTCTAGGTGAAATGTTGCTTTTTTGTACACTAGTGTACACTTTTGTAACGTGCACGCATGCACGCACGCACACACACACATCCCTACACACACCATTGTGCCCCCCCCCCACATTACAGATGCTTCTGACACCCTTGTTACAAACCAAGTGCTGAATTAACTTAAAACATTTGTTTTGTTAAACGCAGACATGAATGTACTGAATTACAAATTTATTGAAAACTCTGCACCATAACAGCACACTTAAACACACCAAGAGCTTCACGAGCTTGGTCAAACGTAAAAACAACACTTTAATTTGTTCAGCCAGTACGCTAGTGCATGACATCACTCAGAGCACAAAGCATAGAATTAGTGAATAGATCTTCCCAGTCATGGATTGGTCACGTTGTCACCAATCCAGAAAATATTCCTATATCGGTATCAATATCGATATTGGTATTGGCTCGGTGCATTTCTAGTTTATTTTCTAAACACAACGTCCCAGTGGCTTTTAAACCCCAAAATACATTACAGCAAAGACTGGTTCATCCCAAAGATCCAGTCCCCCAACACAGAGTAATATTGTGTATGCTGTTCAGTGTCAGGAGGGTGATCAGTCTTACATCGAGGAAACTAAACAGCCACTGGCCAAAAGGATGGCCCAGCACAGAAGATCAACATCATCAGGCCAGGACTCTGCGGTCTACACTCATCTCCAGGCCAGCGGTCACTCTTTCAGGGATGAAGATGTTCACATCCTTGACAGAGAGGAACGATGGTTTGAGGAGTGAATGAAGCCATCTTTGTGAAGAGAAACCGTCAGTCATTAAACAGAGGTGGAGGCCTCAGTATCCAACCGTCCCCCTTTGACAATGCTTTCATTACTAGTATCACTCAGACCTCTGTGAATAACAAGCAGCTTTCAGGGTTCTAACGATCCATTATTAGGTTGATGGTCCTCCTTGATCATGTGAACAGCTGGTTCTGGTTGTCAACAACAAACTGGTTGATCCACTATGCATAGGTGCTATTTATAAGACGGGTCCCATTTACAACACACGTTTTTTGAGTGAAACCGCTGATTTTCTGCTGCTGTTCAGCCGTTCATTTACACAACGGTCCTTGTTCTCTCTGAGACCAAAAGTTTCTGAGAATCCATGTCAGAGTGGAGATTTTCATGTGAACCTCTCGCAGAGGTATGAAATGCTCCTCAAGTGAGACGTCGCACATGCGCACTACAGGCAGCTGCAGTCAAAAGTTTTTCTGCACTAAACGCAGTTATAATAAATGGCAGAGAGCAGAGTGTTTTTTTTTGCTACTCACACTTTTACATCATGTAGCAGCAAAACTAATAAAATCCAGTTACAAAAAGACGTCGGTTTATTCATCAGTTTGAACGCTACTGTGTTCATGCAGACGCTGCATGCACAATGAATGCATCTGATCAGGGTTGCCAGATAATTATCAAATGTTTTATTTACCTCCTCCTTTTCTGTGCACATGTTCAACAAACACAACACACACCTCATCTTAGAATATCTTTACTCAGCACACATGACAGTTTAGGTAAAAAAAAAAACAATCATTTTAAAGCCACAGTACTAGAGTTCAAAATTTCTTAGCTGGCAACCCTACCGACATGGAAACTACAGTGTTTTCGTGTAAATCTGCTCTTAAAAAAACACCAGTTTCCAGAAGTTGTTCTCGTATAAACAGAGCCTGAGTTTGTTGCAGCTCCTCAGACTGAAGAAGTCTTTTGGATAAAAGATAAAATGTTTCAATAAAGAAGAATTTGTCCAGAGGAACTGACTCAACCTTAGATTTATCTACCTAGATTATTGAGCAGCATCAGGATATGAAACATAAACACTCTGTAAATAACCAAGTAGAACAATGAAACATTTTTGATTTTAATCATATTTTCCTGTACATGTTTGTCAAAAAATAAAAGGTGGAGTTGTTTTCGATAACAAATGCTAACAAGGCAAGGTCATGTTCATTTTTCAGAAACAGACATTGATGCAGCATGTGCTACGTTGTGACTATGAGGCATGTCGACAATATCTGATGAACCTCGAGCAAGCCTTCCTTTTGGATCAGGGCAGCCAGGCCCTTGGAGCACTTCTGAGCCATCGATGTGATGGAAACCGCAACATCCTTCATGCTGCCGTATCCGTCTGCTTCCCTGTTAGTAACAAAGAGACCAAAGAGGAGGAAGGTACGATGTTTGTGTCTGTTTGTTTAAAATCTGGCTTTTAATTTATTAGTTTTTCTGTTTTTAATTTATTTGTTAGGTTTACCATTAATTGAAAATTTTAAATTGAAAAACTGACAACTTTTAACAAGCTCTTCAAGCTTGAACTCTGCTCCTGTTTTCTTAAAACTGCCTTCTTCTTGCTGACTCTTTCATGACGATGGCCATGTTGTTTATTTCAGAAGCTGAAAGGTCAGAGAGGAACACATTTGCTGAGCGTCTGTCTGCTGTTGAAGCAATTGCCAATGCTATCTCTGTGGTATCGAGCAATAGCTCAGGAAATAGAACAGGCTCTAACAGCAGAGGGTAAATTACATGTTTTGCATTTTTGTGGCACTGAAAATATACAAATGAAAGTAGATATTGCTAAAAAATTATTCCACAAGGTTTACTGTAACCACAGATTTATGCTGTCAGTCTCTCCCCATCAATGTCCACCAGTAGCTTTGTAGTACTTTATGTCCTCTTAATTTGAAAATTGATTAAATTAAACTACAAAATTGGTCGTGAACAGGCTTCGTCTAAGGGAGATGATGAGGAGGTCTCTCAGAGCTGCAGGTCTTGGCCGCCATGAGTCTGGCCCTTCATCCAGTGACCATCAAGACCCAGTCTCCCCACCCATTGCTCCACCAAGTTGGGTTCCAGACCCCCCACCTATGGACCCTGGTGAGTTTTATGTTAAAACTACAATGTTTGCAGAACATGGTTATTGTCAACAGTCCTCAAAAGGGAGAGTTTTGATTACTTTTCTAATCAACAGATGGGGACATTGACTTTATTCTTGCGCCAGCTGTTGGTTCACTAACAACTGCCTCCTCTGGCACTAGCCAAGGACCCAGCACCTCCACCATACCAGGTATGTGGCTTTTTATCATGATATTAAAAGATAACGAGAAAAATTTGACCTTTGTGTTTTGCCCAGCTACATTTTTTACATGAGGTACTTCTAAATAAGCTAACATTTATCAGTTCAAGTCAACTTTATTGTCGTTTCCACCACGTGCTGAAATTGTGTACACAGGGTCCCAGTTACACCCAAAAATAGCAAAATAAAAAGTATAAAAAGAAATTGTAATAAGGATCTACGATATCCACTAAGACAGTACTTCCCAAAGTGGGTACTTGTATCCCTTGGGGTATGCAAGAGGGATGTAGGGGATACGTGAGAAAATTTGGGGAGGGAAAAAACAAAAGAAGTGTGAAAAGAGCCAGACTACACACACATAAATAGACCGAGGCCTCTTCTTACATAACCAAATAATACACGTGTAAATGCTGCCATCTAGTGTTCAGCAAAGTTATTGCACCGACAAAGTAGAAGACTGTCTCGCTGAATGAATACCTGTTAATCAAAGCAGCCTTTGCTCAACTTTTTGTTGGGGCTGTGAAAACGTCAGAAGCCATTGCTGGATTTCTGGATCGGGCTGCACAGAACAGCCTGCGCTGGCCAAACGCACTGTAAAGACTTTGATGCCCTTTGCTACAACGTACTTGTGTGAAAGTGCGTTCTGACGAATATGAAAACAAAATACAGAGCAAGACTTTGTGATGAGAACGATTTAAGACTCACACTGTCTCAAATTAAGCCAAACATAACAGTTGTGTGCATCCTTCCAAGCACACCCTTTCCATTAAAACTTGTGAGTTTAATTAAATACACACAGTATGTTCAATGACTGTTAGTTATCATAAAGGCCACTTCCTACTCAGCTCCTGCAACCTGGAGCACCTTGCAACAGGAACAGAAGTCGTCCACATTGATTTCTTTAAGGGGTTTCAAACATTTGATAATGTCAATGGAAAAATTAAGACAGATTATGTTCTTGTTTTTAGTATTTTGCTCGGTTTTACGGCACAATGATTTATTGTTTTATACACTACAGTACTCTTATTTTAACTGCATTTTTACTGTAGTTTATTGTTGTCATTGTTTACTGCTATTGTTGTCTGTACTTTATGTTCTGTCTGGAACACGTCTCTCTTGTGAATGAGTCCTCGTGCCTCAATGAGACTAGCCTGTATAAATAAAGGTTGAATGAATGAAATATAATTTTTTTTTGCAATATATAAATTCTACACAGGCTAAATGTTTGGATAATTCAGTCTATAGACAAGTCTGCTGGCTTCCTTAGATAAAGAACTTTACTAATTGGGTTTTCTATGTATGTGAATGTTTCTGTAAAGTGCCCTGAGACAACTTTGTTGTGATTTGGTGCTATAAAATAAACTGAATTGAATTAAACATGTTGCTTATTAATGCTGACATTTATTAATAAATATCATTTGTAGCAATAAAATTAACAGTTTTTAAGATTTTATTTGATATGTGCAGTGTTTACGAACACATTTTAAAGGGAGGGTACTTGGCTAGAGGGCAGATGTCTGAACAAAGTTTGGGAACCACTGCACTAAGATATACACTAAACACTAATAATGTAAAACAATACGGCGAAACAGCAGCCCGAACATGACAATTATAACTTCGCACTATTATCTTTATGTAAATTGGACCTGTGTGAGCTGTACATTTTATTTTTACACACCGTAATCTTGTATGCAGGACCATCAACTGAGCCGTCTGTGGTTGAGTCGAAGGACAGGAAAGCCAATGCTCACCTTATCCTCAAGCTGATGTGTGATAGTGTTGTCCTGAGGCCACACCTACGAGACCTGCTCTCTGCAAAGTAGGATTTAAAAAAAAAATACTGTTTAGGTGCATAAAAAGCTTGCAATAAATATTTTAAGTTACCCTTCTTTATTTTTTTTCCCTTTTTTTTTAGCAAATCTTATTTGCGTGTCTTAAGTGTGTGCATATTTTGTTGCTTTGACAGGGATGCCAGAGGAATGACTCCATTCATGCTGGCTGTCAGTGGGAGAGCCTACCCAGCAGCTATTACTGTGCTTGAAGCTGCTCAAAAAATTGCCAAGAGTAAGTTCTTAAATTTGCATTTCTCTCTAAACTAGTTTGTCATTTAAAGGAAGCGTATTTCTGTATTAATAACTCAGCATGCCTAACATGTACCCTAACAGAAATTTATTTTTACCAGCCACCAATAATATGGATAATGGTTTTTGATTTTTTTCTTGTCTTTTCTCTTTTCATATGTTTTTATTATTGCTGTTCTCAAACACAGTGGGTGACCCGAGCATCACTGAGAAAGAGGATGCAGATACGGTGTTCATGGAAATGATTTGTCCCTCTGGAACCAACCCAGATGATTCTCCGCTCTATGTCCTCTGTTGCAACGACACCTGCAGTTTCACCTGGACTGGAGCCGAGCATATTAACCAGGTCAGCCCTGCATGATACTTCTGCATGCAAATGAGCTCTTAACTGGAGAGAATGTATTGTTTCTAAACTGTATTATGTTCATTTATGAAGAGTCAGATTTTTGAATTCACTCATCAATGTTTTATTGGCTACCTGAGATTTTTCATAACACTAAGTTTGTATTTAGGACATCTTTGAGTGTCGAACATGTGGACTGCTCGAGTCTCTCTGCTGCTGCACCGAGTGTGCCAGAGTGTGTCACAAAGGACACGACTGCAAGTAAGTCCTTGTTTTCTGTTCAACTTTGCAAAGATTTCATCCACTCCTGCCATCACACTTTGAGGGGTGGGACTGATCATGCGCCTCACAATTCGATTGCAATTTGATTTATAAAACGATTATTGATGCATCTCAATGAATCTGTATGCAAACTTAAACAATCCTGAGCATAGAATTTCACAGACCTAAAGGAAAATTATTGGGCGGCTGTTGTCGAGTGGTTAGAGCAGTCGTCCTCCAATGCAAGAGTTGGGGGTTCGAATCCACCAGCAGTCACATGCTGAAGTGTCCCTGGGCAAGACACTGAACCCCTCATAGCCTCTGATGTGTGTCCCATCGGTGTATGAATGTGATAAATCACTGATTAGTCTCTTTAGAATGATTTGTTCAATTAGCTTTGTAGATCTAGTAGAGTGCTGTATGAATGGGTAAATGAGGCACCGATTATGTTGAAAAGGGCTTTGAGTGTTTTGGTAGAAAGGTGCAATAGTACAGTCCATTTACCATTTATTCCACACTACAGGCAAAACAGTTTTCATTAAAAACAGGATTTTGGGAACAAAAGGAACAAACTGTTAAAAGGCTGAGTAAAGTAGCACAAGATTCAGTGACACTGGATGTCTGGGCATCACACGTTAAAGCTATTTTACCTTCTTTTGCCTTTCCATGACTTGATTTTTGGTCCCAGTGATTTGGAAGTGGCTTTGATGATCACACCGTCTTATGGCTCCAAGCCTCTGTTTTCAACCACTGAATATGAACACAAATCTTCACAACCAAAGTTTCTGTGGTCTTCATATTTCACTTAGCCTTTTTCAAGTTGGGTGAAAACTTTGGCTCTTTGTCCAACATTTTTCAGTCAGGTCATCTGGACAGTTTCTTTTTTTGTGCTGAAATGTTTCTGCACAAAAAAAGAAACTGTCCAGATGACCTGACTGAAAAATGTTGGGTTGTATACCTGAATTATTGAGCATGGACTTTGTTGTTTGGCTCTTTGTCTTTTCTTTTTCCTCTCCATGTCAAAACATGTGCACAACTTCCATAATGTGTGGCTCTTACTTCATAAAATGTGAAGTTCTTCTAAATGCTGGCTTTCAGTGAAGAATTAGTTATTTTGAATGACTCTGTCAGTCATCTGTTTCTTGTGACTGTACTTTAGTCTCCCACCTTTTGTATTCCTCAATGTGATGTTATTAACAGTAAATATGCATCAGTTTTTGACATTTTTAAATTGATTCAGAGTTGGTTGTATTCATATCTGCATTATGAAGCATTGAAACTGATTCTAACCTGAACCATTACCTGTTATTAATATCTTTCTTATGCCTTTTTAATTTTGTTCTTTCTCAGGTTGAAAAGGACTTCTCCTACAGCATACTGTGACTGCTGGGAAAAATGCAAGTGCAAAACACTTATAGCAGGCCAGAAGGCTGCTCGGCTAGACTTATTGTACAGGTTACTCACAACCACAAACCTGGTCACTACACCAAACAGCAGGTAAGCTCTATTTGGCACCTCCTATTTTTGACTCTGTTAGTTGGCAAATTTGGGTAAGAAATGCTAAACTAGTATTGTTGTACTTGGAGCTAATTTAACAAATGGATGTCCTTTTATATCAGAATGTTCCAGTTTAATTTCTAAATAAGCAACGGGGGATTCATCTGTTTAACTTGTTTCCATATGTAGGGGGGAACACATTTTACTGTTCCTGGTTCAGACTGTTGCCAGGCAAAGTGTTGAGCACTGTCAGTACAGACCGCCACGCATTAGAGAGGACAGGAACCGCAAATCTGCTAATGCAGAAGGTACATTCACTTTCATGCTTTTATCTCCTTTTAAGCCAAACAATAGTCATTTTTGATTTTTTTTGTTTGTTTTCTCACACTAAATTGTCATTAAGCAATACAGCTGTTATATTTTTCACAGACTCTGATATGCCAGATCATGACCTTGAGCCTCCTCGCTTTGCTCAGCTGGCTCTGGAGAGGGTCCTGCAGGACTGGAACGCCCTCAAATCTATGATAATGTTTGGTTCTCAGGAAAACAAAGATCCGTAAGTATCGCAGTCGAACTTTGTTTTGTTTGCTTAGGAATGAGCGACTTTCATAATGTAATTTATGAATTGATAAACCATATCAGTGAGCCAAGTATAGATTATTAAATGGGAGTAACCAAAAATATGCTGGGGTACAGTTTGCTGTCAAAGTGGGAAGAATGGTTAACATTTTTTCTTTGTAGGGCTGCACAATTGTGGATGAAAAATCACATTTTAACCATTATTGAAGTAATTGTTTTGTTTTTTTACACAATTACTGTTTGAGTTTGCGTGCACTGCATTTTTTTCACTTAAAGGTCTTAAATGTTGAGCTTTTCCAAAGACGCCTTCAGTCTGAACTTTTCATTAAAGTGACAACAAAGAGACAAAAAATAAACTCATTAATAAAATCAGCAATATACACTACAATTATATTTTAGGGCTCTGTAAAACATTTCTCCCACAAATGCCTGTCTGGTTTTCATTTTATTTTTTTATTCATTTTTATTTATCTAAATTCCATATTTGACAGTTTTCAAGTAAAATTTCATGTGACTCTAAAAATAATTTAATATTTCATAAATATTACATTAAATATACTGTAAAACATAATATCTTCATGTTTTATAACTTCATGCTCAATAATCCTGGATGGTTTCTTTATGTTGAAACGTTTCGTTTTTCATCCAAAGGACTTCATCAGTCCGAGGAGCCACAACAAACTCAGTGTTAAATAGCACCTTTATATAGTAGATTAACCAGTTTGATGGTGCTCCCATGGTTTCAGGAGTCCGCTCTCTCCCCCACCAACTCGTTTGAGGCAGTCATGGCCAAAGTGGTTCAAAACATAAAAGTTCATGCTCCGTAAATTAGCTATGTTTTTCTGTCTAGATTTTTTTCTGTTTATTTACAGCAGAAATCATAGGCTCTAATGCTTTCTCTCATTGTTTGAACATCAGACTGCTGAACAGATTTGTTGTTTGGCCAAGTGGTGCAGACAACACAGAGGAGCAAGTCTTGTGTAAAATGTGCTTTGAGTTCCTCCATCTTTACTGCTGTGACTTTAAAATGCCACCAGAAGGTGCACATGGGTTTACAGACGCTGGTCATAAAATTAAAATGTCATGAAAAAGTTGATTTATTTCAGTAATTCCATTTAAAAAGTGAAACTTGTATATTCATTCATTACACACAGTCTGATATATTTCAAATGTTTATTTCTTTTAATGTTGATGATTATAACTGACAACTAATGAAACCCCCAAATTCAGTATGTCAGAAAATTAGAATATTACTTAAAACCTTTGCAGATGATGTGGTCCTGTTGGCGTCATCGTGCCGTGATCTTCAGCTCTCACTGGAGCGGTTCGCAGCCGTGTGTGAAGCGGCTGAGATGAGAATCAGCACCTCTAAATCTGAGGCCATGGTCCTCAACCGGAAAAGGGTGGATTGATCTCTTCAAGTCGAGGGTGAGGTTCTGCCTCAAGTGGAGGAGTTCAAGTATCTCTGGGTTTTGTTCACAAGTGAGGGAAGAATGGAGCATGAGATTGACAGACGGATTGGTGCAGCATCTGCAGTATTGCAGACTCTGTACCGGTCCGTTGTGGTGAAGAGAGCTGAGCTGTAAGGCAAAGCTCTCTGTTTACCGGTCAGTCTACGTTCCTACCCTCACCTATGGTCATGAGCTCTGGGTAGTGACCAAAAGAATGAGATTGCGGATAAAGGTGGTTGAAATGAGTTTCCTCCGCAGGGTAGCTGGACTCTCCCTTAGAGATAAAGTGAGAAGTTCAGTTATTCGGGAGAGACTTGGAGTAGAACCGCTACTCCTCCATGTTGAGAAGAGCCAGTTGAGGTGGTTCGGGCATCTGGTAAGGATGCCCCCTGGGCGTCTCCCTAGAGAGGTGCTTCGGGCATGTCCAACTGAGAGGAGACCCCAGGGAAGACCCAGGACACGCTGGAGAGACTATGCCTCTCAGTTGACCTGGGAACGCCTTGGAATCCTCCCAGAAGAGGTGGCTGTGGAAAGAGATGTCTGGGCCTCCCTGCTCAAGCTGCTGCCCCCGCGACCCGACTTTGGAATAAGCGGAAGATAATAGATGGATGGATTTTTAGAAATGTTGACCAACTGAAAAGTATGAGCATGTACAGCACTCAATACTTAGTTGGGGCTCCTTTTGCCTGGATTACTGCAGCACTGCGGCGTGGCATGGAGTCGATCAGTCTGTGGCACTGCTCAGGTGTTATGAGAGCCCAGGTTGCGCTGATGGTGGACTTAAGCTCTTCTGAATTGTTGTCTGGTGTATCACATCTTCTTCACAATACCACATATATTTTTTATGGGGTTAAGATCAGGCGAGTTTGCTGGCCAATTAACAGGGATACTATGGACCTTAAATCAGGTGCTGGTAGCTTTGGCACTGTGTGCAGGTGCCAAGTCCTGTTGGAAAATGAATTCTTCATCTTCATAAAGTTGGTCAGCTGCAGGAAGCATGAAGTGCTCTAAAACTTCCTGGTAGATGGCTGCGTTTACCTTGGACCTCAGAAAACACAGTGGCCCAACACCAGCAGATGACATGGCACCCCAAACCATCACTGACTGTGGAAACTTGACTCTGGACCTTGAGCAACGTGGATTCTGTGCCTCTCCTCTCTTCCACTAGACTCTGGGATCTTGATTTCCAAAGGAAATGCAAAATTTACTCTAATCATAGAACATGACTCTGAACCACTCAGCAGCGATCCAGTCCTTTTGTCTTTAGCCCAGGCGAGATGCTTCTGACACTTGTCTCTTGTTCAAGAGTGGCTTGACACAAGGAATGCAACGCTGAAACCCATGTCTTGCTTACGTTTGTGCGTGGTGGTTCTTGAAGCACTGACTCCAGCTGCAGTCTACTCTTTGTGAATCTCTCCCACATTTTGGAATGGGTTTTGTTTCACAATCTTCTCCAGGGTGTAGTTACCCCTATTGCTTGTACACTTTTCTCTACCATGTTGTTTCCTTTCCTTCGCCTCTGTATTCATGTGCTTGGACACAGAGCTCTGTGAACAGCCAGCCTCTTTAACAATGACCTTTTGTGTCTTGCCCTCCTCGTGCAAGGTGTCATTGGTCGTTTTTTGGACAATTGTCAAGTCAGTAGTCTTCCCCATGATTGTGTAGCCTACAGAACTAGACTGAGAGACCATTTAAAGGCCTTGCAAATTTGGGGTTTTCTTTAGTTGTCAGTTATAATCTTCAATATTAAAAAAATAAAAATTTTAAATATATGTCTGTGTGTAATAAATGAATATAATACACAAGTTTCACTTTTTGAATGGAATTACTGAAATAAATCAACTTTTTCATGATATTCTAATTTTATGGCCAGCACCTGTAGATGGCAGAAGTGCTCCTCAATCAGAAGGAAAGACTAAATAATAGCAAACTTACAAAGCAGAAATGGGAAAACATGTTTTTATTTTATTTATTTTTTCCAATTAGGCCATTTTTTGTAAAACCTTTTGTGGCTGAAATAAAAGTTATAAATTTACATTTTATTTGCACAGCCTTGCTTCTTGGAGCCAATTGAAAAATAATCTTGATTTTAAAAAACAGTGCTTGGCAATGATTGGCTGCCAAATGGCGGCCACAGGAGCGTGCACGGGAAGACTTTAACAAGAATTTAACAAGATTAACACTTAAAAACAATAATTTGTTAGCTCAAAATTATAGTGTGCTCAAAATTATAGTGAAGGTGTGTCTAACTATTGCTTAATAAAAGGACTTTAACGGTCAAATTAGCTTTATTTCAAAAGCTGATATGCGGAAGCAAGAGCGTGCCATGCATTTCTTTGAAATTTAACACGATAACCACCTAAAATCAATTATTTGCTCGACATTATAGTAAAGGTGTATCTCAGTTTAACATTTTTCTTAATAAAAGCACTTTAATGGTAAAATCAGCTGTTTTTCAAAAGTATTTGCTGCCTCGGTGCTCCGGGAGTGGGGAGAGAGAGGAAATCATGAAGGAGGAACGCTACACATTTCTTTGAAATTTAACAAGATAAGAATGTAAAACAATTTGTTTGTTCAACATTATAGCAAAGGTGTGTCTCAGTTGAACTTTTACTTAATAAATGCACTTCAGTGGTCAAATTAGCTGCATTTTGCTGGGGCGGCGCAGCGAAATGGAAGCTGATTTGACGGTTACTCCAAGCATGATCTCGGAGCTGGACGAAGGTGGGAGGCTATGGCAAGCCGATTGTGTCATTAATAACCACTTTTACCTGTTACATGACTAAGCGGCATGCTATACTAGAGTTCTATCTAGCGGCTGAAAATGGTAGTGTTCAATCAGAATGAATGAAACGGTCATATCGCAGTCAAAAATTGGGTTATACGTATGGGGAAAGAAACAAAACAAAAATAAGTTGCTTCGGCGTATAAGTTGCAGTGTATGCAAATTAGGCAAAAGGTGCGACTTATACGCTGGAAAATACGGTAAATTAAACTGACTAAGCTTCCATTAAATCTCACTATAATATTAAAAAAAGGCTCACAGCTTCTTCTCCAATAATATATGTTGAAATATATGTTTAGTTTTGAGGGAAAAATCAAATTCCAACTTCACGCCAATTTAGTTGAAATGGTATTTTGAGACCTGTGTGTTTTCTGTTTGTCAGACTTAGTGCCAGCAGCAGAATTGCTCACCTCCTGCCTGAAGAACAGGTGTACTTGAATCAGCAGAGTGGCACCATTCGCCTTGACTGTTTCACACACTGCCTCATCGTCAAGTGTGCTCCTGACATCACTGTAAGTCCAGTTTGTGTGCATTCAGCTCAAATCAGGCTCTGTCACTCATTAAATCAAACAGCTGCAGTAGCACATCCACCATTAAGGGATTTTTCTTTGTTTTCATCTGTTCACTTGTGTGGAGTTATATTCTTATAATGCTTCATTTTAACATTTCCCCCTCCTTTATTAGTTTATAGATACATTACTTGGAACTTTGGTAAAGGAGCTGCAGAACAAGTATACGCCCGGCCGGAGAGAGGAGGCGATCACCGTCACAAGGAGGTTTCTGCGCTCCGTAGCTCGGGTGTTTGTTATTCTCAGTGTAGAGATGGCCTCATCCAAAAAGAAAAAGTAAGAACATGTTATGCTGATTACTTTGTAATGTGGAGATAAAAATCTCTGCTTGTGTATTCATTCAAAATTAACTTTAATATTGGTCCTGTCTTAGTAAAATATATATGATTACAAGGGTAAACACTGATTTGAATATTTGTGAAACTGAGAAGTAGGAAATATTTAGCTTAAAATCTAAGCCACTTATTAACAGGAAAGGAGCAAATAAGAGTACAGCAGTCCCTCATTTATCGTGGGGTTTAGGGGCCACGTCCCCGCGATAATTGATAAGCCGTGAAGTAGGGATACAGTAGTCCAAGTTCAAGTAAACTTTGTTTACACACTTCCGCTTCCTCTTCCTTCTCCGTCTGCGCCGCCTCCCAGGCCCGACAACAATCCACGGAGAGCCATGTGATCTCACTAGATCATCTGGGATGTTATGCGTGTAATGAAAGTCACTTGAAACAGATATTTGGTGCTGCTCACCGATGTCCAAAAGGATCTGGCGTCCATAGTTGTTTGCAAACTCAGCAATGCAAACACACAAAAAAGGACATACAAAAACAACATTAAAAAGCACTGAAAGGGAGAGCTGTGAGCCGCTGCAACCATGCGTGCCGTAATATTGCCTTAAACCATTAAACCAAAATACACAGCACCTGGAGTCATTAACTGTGTGTGCAGAGCAGGACAAGTGCAGTTCCCTACAACTTAACAATTTATATACATATAGAGCTTAAATTTGGTGAGGTTATTGCTGAGAACGTTCCTCATGACAAAATGAATCCAAATCAAAAATCCAAGATGGCCACCTTAGCTAAAAGAGCAAAAATGTAGCTCAGGCGCTTTTAGAGCTATTCAACTGAAATTTGGTACAGTGGTAGCTGAGAGTGAACCCAAACACATAGTGCTATCAAATCAACAATTTAAATTGGCAGCAGCCTGGCCGTCCCCATCAAAGTTTCTCCAGGAACTTTCTCGTTATTTTTGACCATCCAAGGAAAGTTCCACCAAATTGAACACTTGTAAAAATGATTAATAATCCAAATATTCTTTTTTCTTATTTTCTTCACAGCAACTTCATCCCCCAGCCCATTGGGAAATGTCGGCGCGTGTTCCAGGCTTTGTTGCCGTACGCTGTGGAGGAGTTGTGTAATGTGGCAGAGTCGCTCATTGTTCCGGTGCGAATGGGTATCACAAGACCCACAGCTCCTTTCACTTTGGCTAGCACGAGCATAGATGCAGTTCAGGGCAGCGAGGAGCTTTTCTCTGTGGAACCGCTACCTCCAAGACCCTCCCCGGACCAGTCCAGCAGGTTAGTCAAAATGTACTTTTTGTTTTTGCTTTTGTTTTATGGAAAATAAAAATATGTGTACAGAAGTAATCTGAATGAGTTTTATCACAGAAAGAAAACGAAGAGAAAAAATGTATATGGACTTTTAAGCACACTTTATTGGCTGTAACAGGCTTGTTTTAATTTTTCCAGCTCAAGCCAAACAGCTGCCTCTTACATCATCAGGAACCCCCAGCCTCGGCGCAGCAGCCAGTCTCAGCCCGTCAGAGGAAGAGACGAGGAGCAGGACGACATTGTGTCAGCAGATGTTGAAGAGGTCTGTTTCCTTTTTGTTAAAAACATTCATCCAGCCTAGGGCTGGGCAATATGGACCAAAATTAATCTCAATATTTTTAAGATAAATATTTATCTTTATCATGATTTAAGATAAATCATGATATATATATATATATATATATATATTTATTTATAAATTATTAAATTAATTAATTGTAAATAATTTTTATAAATTTAAATATTGAGATATTGCCCATCTCTAATCCAGTCATTATCTTTACCCGCTGCTTCCTTTTCGGGTCACTGGTGCTAGGGGTGCACCGATTGCAGTTTTCTGGCTGATTACCGATTTCTAAAAAGTCTGACCTGCCAATTCAGATTTTGGCCAATACCGATTTTGTTTCATAAGCGACACTGTCAGGTGTTATAAGGTCACAATGCAACTTCAATTTTCCAATCTTATTTTATTGAAAAACATACCCTTGAACAATATCCTAGAAACAATACAAACTTGTTTTAATTGGCCATGAGGCAGTGCTCTGAAATATAAATGAAGTTTAGAAAATTCTTGTTAAAACTAAAAAAATTGGTAAAATCGGTTTCTCATGCAAGTATCGGCCAATTTTCCAAAATTAAGGAAATCGGATTTATTGGTGCACCCCTAACTGGTGCTCATGTCCAGCAATCACTGTGCGAGGGGCGGGGGACACCCTGGACAGTTCTCCAGTCCATCACAGGGCCACATAGAGACAAACGAGACACAACCATTCACCCTCTCACTCTCACCTAGGGACAATTTAGAGTCACCAATCAGACTAACATGCATGTTTTCAGTCTGTGAGAGGAAACCAGAGAAAATCCACGCATTCACGGAGAGAACATGCAAACTCCACCTAGAAAGACCCCTGTCTGAGATTTGATCCGGCAACCTTCTCACTGAGAGGCAACAGCTCTACCAAATGTGACACTAAAATATTAAACAAACTTTTGATGCAAGCCACTGAGCGAATATTGGCAGTATTTGTGTATTTATCCAGTACAGTTACAGTGAAGTCTTTATTAAATATTTTCCATTTTTATTTTTACTGTTGTCACTATACCTTTGGTTTCAATTGGACCTTCTTTTGACTTGTGGTTTCTTGGTTGGGGTCTGATGATGATGTTTGTCTCTCAGGTTGAAGTTGTAGAAGGAGTTGCAGGGGAGGAGGACCATCACGATGACCAAGAGGAACAGGGAGAGGAAAACGCCGAAGCAGAGGGGCAGCATGATGAGCACGATGAAGACGGTGAGACACATTTTTATAGAATTTTAAAGTAGCTGTTGACGGTTATTCCTCTAACTAAAGAAGTGTTTTCTCAAAAGTCAGCGAACTTTGCTGGAGGCATCATGTTGTCTTTGTCTCTGCTTTTAGGAAGTGACATGGAGTTGGACCTGCTGGCGGCAGCTGAAACAGAGAGCGACAGTGAAAGCAACCACAGCAATCAGGATAATGCAAGTGGCCGCAGGAGTGTCGTCACTGCAGCAACCGCCGGCTCAGAAGCAGGTTGGTCACCTGCTGTTTTTATTTTATACATAACCTTAAATCATTACTTTAGGGAACATTCCCCTCAGTCACTTAGTGCTTTTCTTTTTAAAAAGGTTTTAGGGAAATGCACCACCTCCTTTCAACTAAAAGATTCAAACAAATTGTTTTAATAAATGACATAGATGTATTGTATTTGTTTTTCTTACTAATTCAGACCTCTTTAGTTCTTAACAAGCAACATTTAAGATTGGGGGGCTTTGTGTTTGGACAGCTAATGATACAGCAGACAAAATGGTCCCTGGCTGAAAACTTGATGTATTTCATTTGCAGGCAGTAGGGTGTCCTTGGCATTTCCTATTTTTGGTATGAGCTCCTCTTTACTTCATGCACACACAGATGTCAGGGCAAGAGTGAATTTGCAAAGTGCATACACAGCGCCCCTCTGAGAGTTCTTCAGTTTCTCATGTTTCACTGCTATTGTCTCGTTTTAACTAATAGTGTCCCCCTTTACAAGATACTTTATTTTTTATTTTTTTATCTTTCATTCTAATAAACTAATTTGAACTTTGTTCCAAGTGTTTTTGATTTGTGTTTTATCGACTTGAAAACGTACGCCATGAATATCCTACTAATAATGTTGGTGTCCGCAATATTTTTCTTTTGCTGCTTTGTTTTCTTAAACTGACAAGAATGGCATTGCTGTTTTACTATTTTTAATTACTTTTTATTTTGGGGGGAAAACATCTAAAATTAACTTTTTTTTAAATCACAACATTCCTATAGAGAAATGTAACTGTTTTGCCTTGAAGCCTCGTTGTTCTGCTTTGTGGTGATGTAATTTACTAACCTGCATAGCTGTTGGTGTAAATGTGAAATAAAAATAAAAGTAGAGGGAATCTAAGATGAACTTTGTCATCTTTAAACTTTCATCATTTGTTTTTACCCCCCTCTTTTTATTGAAGGTGCCAGCAGTGTTCCTGCCTTCTTTTCAGAGGACGACTCCCAGTCGAACGACTCGAGTGATTCGGACAGCAGCAGCAGTCAGAGCGATGATGTCGACCAAGAGACATTTCTTTTAGATGAGCCGCTGGAAAGGACTACCAGCGCCTCACATGCCAACACTGCAGCCCAGGCTCCTCGCTCCATGCAGTGGGCTGTTAGAAACACCCCGAGCCAAAGGACCAGTGGAGGTGCTCCCTCCAGCTCTTCAACTCCAGCTGGTCAGTAAGCAGCCGTCTGGTTTGTACTACAAGTCTACGGTTTTCGGGGTCTTTACAGAAACAGAGTATAAATTGTGCCTGTTATGTTTCTTGTTTTTCAACTAGCGAGCTCCACGGGTTTGATCTATATCGATCCTACAAATCTGCGCCGTTCCAGTGCAATTAGTTCCAGTGCAGCGGCGGCGGCAGCAGCTCTGGAGGCCAGCAACTCCAGCAGCTACCTGACGTCTGCCAGCAGTCTCGCTCGTGCCTACAGCATCGTCATCAGGCAGATATCAGACCTCATGAGTCTGATTCCAAAATATAACCATCTTGTCTACTCTCAGTATCCTGCTGCTGTAAAGCTCTCCTACCAAGATGCCGTCAACCTGCAGGTAATATACAAACACCAAAATAAATGTTCACATTTATTTTTGTATAATAAAATGAAAACCAAATATTCAGTGGTAAATATGCAGCTGTAACATAACAGGAGAATAGTTAATCACTTTGCTGTGATTGATGCGATTTCTGCTGTTGCATATTAAATACTGGTAAAAATCCACGTAATCTCCTCATGATTATAGAGTTTATGCTATTATGTTCATCAGAACTATGTTGAAGAAAAGCTGATTCCAACCTGGAATTGGATGGTGTCCATCATGGATTCCACGGAGGCTCAGTTACGATATGGCTCAGCTCTGTCGTCGGCTGGAGACCCTGGTCACCCCAGTCACCCGCTTCACGCCTCTCAGCACTCTGCTCGCAGGGAACGCATGACTGCTCGGGAGGAGGCCAGCCTCCGCACTTTGGAAGGTCGCAGGTAAGTTTTAATTTATTTTATTTTTTAATACTACTTTCGCAGAACTGATAAAAATAGATTTGATATATATTTAGAAATTAACTACATTTACTTACTTGTAGTGAGGCTGTAAACCTGGTTTCACGTGTTGGCTCGTCTTGTTTTACTTTCAGGAGGGCGGCCACTCTGTTGACTGCCCGTCAAGGCATGATGTCGGCGCGCGGCGACTTCCTGAACTACGCGCTCTCTCTGATGCGCTCTCACAATGATGAGCATTCCGATGTCCTTCCTGTCCTGGACGTGTGCTCGCTAAAGCATGTGGCCTACGTTTTCCAGGCGCTCATTTACTGGATAAAGGCCATGAACCAGCAAACCACCCTGGACACCCCACAGATGGATAGAAAGAGGTAAACCAGGACACTGAGGAAGAAGAATTGTGATCATTGTGTTGGTTAAAAACTGCATCACCAGACAAGTAGTTTTTGTTCATTTATTACTTTTAGTTACAGTTTTTAAATATAATATTTTTAACACCCAGGAATCGAGAGACTTTGGAGCTTGGTCTGGACAATGAGGATTCTGAGCACGAAAACGATGAGGACACTAATCAAAGTAAGGCACACTTCTAATATTTAATAACGGTGTAAAATATTTATATTATATATAGTTTATGCTACTTGGATTAAACCCATCCCTTTCACCATAGGTTCAACTCTACAAGACAAAGATGAAGACCCAGTTCCAGCTGAGACGGGTCAGAACCACCCCTTCTTTCGCCGCTCGGACTCCATGACCTTCCTGGGCTGCATCCCACCCAACCCTTTTGATGTTCCTCTTGCAGAGGCCATTCCACTGGCAGACCAGCCCCATCTCCTGCAGGTCAAACACATGTTTAGCTGTTTGCATAGAGGCTGGTTCTTAAAGAAGAGGCATATTAATTAAGAAAGCTCTAGATTACGTTTGTCAAAAAAATACTTCTCGTACTTCTATTATTATTACGGTAAATATGTCAGAGTACACCTTCATCGTGACTCAGGCAAACCCTAAATTTTAAGAGCTGATGCACTGGCAGCTGTGCACTGCTCACTGGGTCAGGCAAGACATTCTCATAACACCTTGTGTAAACAGCCCATGTGCAGAATTCACAGAACTCCAGAGTCAGTGGCATTACGAGTATTTTAACTCTCTTCAAAGGCTCACAACTTACTTGTCGTTGCATGTTGACATGACAGTGCCATGTCAGTAATAGCTGCAAAGCTGAAGTAAAGCTGTAAAATTATGTATAAAATTAAAGCCTGCCAGTCCGGATTAATTATTACCCAGATTCATCTGCTCACAAGCTTTGACTCATTATGATCAGTCTGTTCATTGGCATATTTTACACACCATTGGCAACACTGACAAAATAATTGTAATCTATTGTTAAAAAGAACAATATATTTATTTTTTTATTATTATTTTTTTTCTAGATGGCCTCCCTTCTCCCGTTACAGCAATCCTCTCCACACCATTATTATGAAATATTTATTCTAGTGATTATCTAGTGTAGGTTTTTTTTTTTGAATGAATAAAAGAACAATATATTTATTAATTTAAAGCATCACTCAGTGCATTAGCTTTTGTCATCATGTACGCTACATATATGCCAGTGTGACTGGTTTGTCTGAAATCTTTTGACAGCATCATGTAAGACATCAGTGTGGAGCTCCCCAGTACTCTTGACATTTCTAAAAATAGTTATTTGCACCCATGTTGTTTTTAACACAAGTCAAGCTCAGATGATGAATCTTCACATTACAAGTGAATCGGAGTAAAACCTTTCTGGATCCAGTTATCACCCATCTTTTTATTGACCACAGGAGCACAGAGCAGTTCATCCAGCCACAATATGATTTAAAACGAGTGAAATGTCTGTGTCTTTGTCCGTCTTGTGTTTAAAGCAGTCTTTTAGTCTTACTGTGATTCTTTCCCTTTTTTCTTGCCACCAAAAGTATACTTTAAAGTGACGGTTGACATAATTAGGGAATGCAGAATGTGTTTACTCAAGACACATTGCACAGTCACTAACTACATTTATTAATCTTATTGTTTATCATTGTATTATAAACATGTTAAAATGACCTTCATTGTATTAAATTTGTTTTGATGCATGCCCAACAGCCCAATGCAAGGAAGGAGGATCTGTTTGGCCGTCCCTCCCAGGGCTTGTACTCTTCCTCTTACATGACAGCCAAAGGCCCGGCAGAGACGAGCGTGGACAGGAACTGCCTGGAGGTAAACATGGGCTCCTCTCTACTCTTCCCCTTTCAAGTATACAACCAGTCTTTATCAAACAAACAAGCTGGCAGCTGTTTTCTGTTCAAAACAATCGGTTGAAAAATCTGTCTTAAATACAAATGCCAAAATTTACTTTTCACCCTTTAAGAAATTATAGATTTACTGAGTGATCTTTTCAATGTGGGTTGTGGGACATGCAGTAGTTTGTGTTCAGAGCAGTGGCAGCTGGTGGAGTTTTCTCCAGGGGAGTCTATAACTCCAAAATAGACACACACACGTCACACATAATAATAATAATAACAATGTGTTATGTGTAGTGTGCCCATCACTCTGCAACAGGGTAAATCTGGACTCATCAGACCACATGACCTCCTTCCATTGCTCCAGAGTCCAATCGTTATGCTCCCTAGCAAATTGAAGCCTTTTTTTCCCCCAGTTAGTCTCACTGATTAGTGGTTAGCTGTTCAGTCACAATCCCTTGAGTTCCCTTCACATTGCACATGTGGAAATGTTCTTACTTTCACTATTAAACGGTCCTTGATCTCTCATCGTGTATCGGAGAGGCCAGCGATGTAAACTGTAACCTTTTCCTGCCTTGATTTAATACAATTGGTAAAACTTAATTCACATTTCCTTGATCTATTGATAGTGTGAGTTGCTTCTTCTGAGGGAGGTCCGAGCCGGGGGCCGCGTGAGCTGGAGGCGGATCTGGGGTCCGAGATGAGGCCCTGAGGCCCACAGCTAGCAAAAGCTAGCTGCAGTAGCTCGGGGCCACGGCGGCTCACGTTGCAACAGTTACAGTATTCAAATTTAAATTGTTAATTTAAGGAGGGAGATTGGGAGTAACAGAAGTGTGATTGCAGCCTGGCACATGTCATGACAAAGTTTACTGAACTTGAACGGAACTTGAATTTGGACTACTGTCTCCCAACTTTGCGGTTTTTCACTTATCGCTGGTGAGCGTGGTCCCAAACACTCACGGATAACGAGGGATCGCTGTATTTTCATTATCCAGATCAATACAAATGCTGGTGTTCAGAAATGGTACAACACCATCTGGGACATTTAGTATAGAAAAGTATTCATGTTTATTATTTTTTCTATAAGCACATTCATAAATGTAGCAATAGCACTGATTTATCACAGAGCCCAATACAATACACTGTTTTGTTTTGTATTTTATTGGATGTAAATGGGACCCTGTGTACATAATTTCACTCCACCACATGTACAGCATGTGGTGCAAACGACAATAAAGAATATCTGAGTCTGAATTAACTCGGAGGCTAGCACTAGCATGCTAGCTCCATAAACAAACAAACACCAGTTCCCACTTTTAGAATACACAGCCAGCTGAAGGTTTTTTCACAAACAGAAACATCTAAAAGTTGAGAGACATATCAGTAATAAATGGCAACACAGACATTAGATAAAGGGCTTTCAATGGCTTAAAGCCTACCTGCAGCAGCTAGCCTGGTTGTGAGTGTCACTGCACGATCTGTTCCTGGACAAGAAAAAAAAAATCTGTTCTGGGACTGGAAGCACGGTCCGCACTGTGCAACTGTATTCAGGGCACAGGAGTGGTGCGCCCAGAATATTCATATCTCTTGTAATGAAGAGGAGCTAACTGTACATGTACAACTTTTAACGAGAGTCTATGGGCAAAGATTCTAGCGCCCCCAGGGCAAAAATACGTCGTCAGTTAGAGACGTTTTTGAAAGAAACAACTTTACTGATCATTAATTGTAAAATATTTATCTTACACAACTAAAAAAAATATATGCATATATTTTGAAATATATTTTTTATTATTTCTTTTTTTTTTTTTTTTCCTCTCTTCAAGGTAATATGTGAGTGGTTTGAGTGATGGAGCGGTGCCCTAGCACCCTCTATCGACCAGCTGCCACTGGTTCAGAGTCCAGTTATTTTTCAGTGTCACTCTGCCTTTACCTTAAAATATCAAGTTGATTATGTTACTAAAGAGCAACTCAATCTTCCTACACCAGATCCTTCCCACAAAGATGTCTTACACAGCCAACCTAAAAAATGTTATGAGCATGGAAACGGGCCAGCGGAGCACCGAGAACCCAACACTGAGCGAACAGGAGCTGGGGGCTTCCAAACTGGGACCTTCGCCGCATGACCTCGCTGCTCAGCTGAAGAGCAGCCTGCTCGCAGAGATCGGTCTCACTGAGAGCGACGGTCCTCCTCTCCCATCTTTCAGGTATCTGATGGCTTTTCATGCGCTGAAACAGAAATTCTGTATTCATTAAAAAAATGTCTTGCCACCAGACAACCCAGTAACTCTTAAACAGAATGTATTTTGTTTTAAAGGGCCATGTCTGATGTTTACAATGTATTCTATAATATGATAATTGTATAAATATTTGGTTGTCTTCTGTCCAGACCTCACTGCAGTTTCATGGGGATGATGATCTCGCATGATATGCTTCTTGGCCGCTGGCGTCTGTCACTTGAACTTTTTGGTCGTGTCTTCATGGAGGATGTAGGAGCAGAACCTGGATCGGTATATTTTCATTTTAAACTTTATGATATTGAAATACTCATTGATTTTTTTTTTTCAAATTTATAACCTAGAATTGACTGGCAAGCATTGAGTAAATACACTACAAAACAACCTGGTCGTGTCTTAACTTTGCATTTATTCGCCGTGATTATTACTGGATGAGTGTTCAGCAATACTTGTTAAATATCAGCAGAGTTGGAGCATGGCAGGCACTTCCTGCTGACAATGAATGAGAGGTGTGACTCATCCTGGGGCTCTACAGGACAACCATTCAGACACACCAACACACAAATGTGTAGCAACAATACAAAATAAATGGCATCCTCCTCAACTGTTTTAATATAAAATGTTTCTCTCACCACTGAATAATTATTTTGACATCAAACTTGTTCTTTTTAAATGTCAGATTCTCACTGAGTTGGGTGGCTTTGAGGTGAAGGAATCCAAGTTCCGAAGAGAGATGGAGAAATTAAGGAACCTTCAGTCTCGGGACCTGGCCCTGGAGGTGGACCGTGATCGAGACCAGTTAATACAGCAGACGATGCGCCAGCTGAATGCACACTTTGGCAGGCGGTGCACAACCACCCCCATGGCTGTTCACCGGGTCAAGGTCACCTTTAAAGATGAGCCTGGCGAAGGCAGCGGCGTAGCCCGCAGCTTCTATACAGCCATCGCGCTGGCCCTCCTCTCAAACGATAAGCTGCCCAACCTGGACTGTGTTCAGAGCGTCAGTAAGGGCATGCAGGCCAGCAGTACGTGTCATCACGATTACAATTCAAGTATGACAATACATAGAAACTACTGCACATTATGGAAATTAATATTGTTCAACGCTAAATGGTACTTCAGTGTTGCTGAAAAAAAGTTGTGACCATTTTTATTTGTGTAGAGGAGGGGAAAAAGGTCCCAACTTGTTTGATGTTATTTTTCAGATCTAATGCAACGTCTAAGGAACAGAGACCGGGAACGAGAGAGGAGAAGTGGAGGACTTCGAGCAGGATCTCGGAGAGATCGAGACAGGTATGCTGTGCTTCCTCCACTCCAGTCAGACATGATGGTAAATACTGTAAATCTGAAAGTGACTTCTGAGCTCAAAGGACACCTTGGTGCCAAATACCACAGCAAATTTTCAGAGGTCTTGGGGAGTCCATGCTTTGGTGGATCTTGGTTGTTACAGTGACCAAAAGAAATCAACTTAATATGATGGTCATAATGTTGTGGCTGATCAGTGTATAGCCCCTTCTTTTGTTTAAGAAAAGAAAGTGTTTAGATTAAAATACTGACCTTTTATTATTTTATATTTTGCGTGCTGCAGAGATTCAAGGAGGCAGTTGTCGATAGACACCAGGCCCTTTAGGCCCTCATCAGAGGGAAACCCCAGTGATGAGCCCGACCCTCTGCCTGCACACAGACAAGCCCTTGGAGAAAGACTCTACCCACGAGTTCACGCAATGCAGCCGGTATTTACCTCCCAGTACTTTAACTAATCTCTTGTGATTGCATTCTTTTAACTGATTTTTTAACCGTAATGTGGCTTTCTAACCATAATGTGGCTAACGATGTGCTTGTGTCTGCAGGCATTTGCTAGTAAAATTACAGGCATGTTGCTGGAGTTGTCTCCTGCTCAGCTGCTGCTGCTCCTAGCTAGCGAGGACTCGCTCCGAGCCAGAGTAGAAGAGGCGATGGAGCTTCTCATTGCACATGGAAGGTATATAAACTTCACCATTCACACAGATAGAAATATTAAACACAGCAACTGATGTCCCTGACTATGAAACAATAATTTTACACACACACACGAAAAAAACAAACTTTTTAGGAACTGCAGGAACATTTTTAGTGCCAATTTTTGTCTTTTGTCACAAACTTTGTCTTTCTTAGGGAAAACGGTGCCGACAGCATACTGGATCTCGGGCTCCCTGAGGCTCCAGAAAAAGCACAGGTAAACCAGATATGTTTTCACTCTTCATTTTTACTGTTTTATTTTTGTTTGCTTGTCTTTTTTAACTTCTGTTTATAATAACCTTTAAAACATTAATTTATAGTAAGGCTAACTTTATTTCTTTCCAAACTAAGTTGTCTTGAGCAATGTTCCCTCTAATTTTTCACGTGTCTGGGCAAACACACAAGCTACCTGAGTGCACTGAGGACCGCGATGAGCAACATCAGATGTACACGCTGTGGTCACACACCAGTATCACACCTGTTCAAAATCTGGGATCATAGCAAGTTTAATGGCTTATTAAAATAATCAAATTACAGCAGCAATTTCCATTTTTTTACTTTTAATATAAGTGATTTGGCCCACTTCAAATGAAAACAACAGTAATCTTTTTGTTCATCTGATGAGTAGTATGCTAAATGTGAGAGTCCTGTCTTGGTCTGGGTAAGGGTCCAGTTGTGGCCTGGGTGAGGGTCCTGCTCTGGAAGATGTTTAGGAACGGGGTAGCCATTGGTATCAGAACCATTTGTAATATGGGGGAACACACTGGTAGGGGGGATCTGGGGGTCCTCCCCAAGAAAATTTTGAATAAAGTAGATGCCATTTCCTGCATTCTGGTGTATTTTAACAGGTTGTTTAACATTGTTTTACCTACACAAGTAACATTTGATTCAATAACTATTTTAGAGTTAATGGCACAACAAGACCTGCCTGACCAACAGCTCTTCTTGTGTGAATAGAGCACACTCCGCTTCTCTCATGCATCCTAGTCACAGTCTAAGAAACATAGTGTAGCCTAACTTAAGTTTTAGGGGAAAAAATCACTAGCCATTATGAAACAATAATAATAATCACTCCTTACCAATGGCCTAGCATAAAGCAATATGATCATCATCCATCGTGTTTATTAGTAACTTAAAATATCTAATTAAAACTCCAGTAATGGGCTAGGTTTATTGTAACCTTACCCAGTTGCAGGGTCAAGAGGCAAACATGTAGCATTAACACAATATGAACAACATTCAGGAATTGTTTCTATAAGAACATTATCAAATATTTTACGTGAACGTTAGATCGCTCCTCCCATGAGGAAATGTAAACCAGGGTGACCTAACCTCGGACATACAAACAAAGATGGCTGTAATGTGGAGGTAGTGAAGCTCACGGCATTTATTTGTTTATTGCATTATTATTTAGTGAGGCATTTATTTCTTATCGACCAACATTAAGACAAAGAAGACAGAAAAAAATCTAAGCTACTAATAACTTAAAATAGTTACTGCAGTGGATGTTTTCATGCTGCACATCAGCACAGGGCAAGAACTCAGTGAAATGTAAGAATAAATTTTACATTACACAACCTATTAAACTTCTTCTTTCGGCCTTTCCCTCTTCAGGGGTCTCCACAGTGAGTCATCCTCCTCCATCTCACTCTGTCCTCACTCCAACTACCTCCATGTCCTCTCTAACTGCATCAATACATCTCCTCTTTGGCCTGCCTCTTGCTCTTTTTCCTGGCAGATGCATTTCTCCTACCTTCTCCTTCATCCTTTATACCCACTGTCCCTCTTCTGGACATGTCCAAACCACTGTCCCTCTTCTGGACATGTCCAAACCACTGTCCCTCTTCTGGACATGTCCAAACCACTGTCCCTCTTCTGGACATGTCCAAACCACTGTCCCTCCTCTGGACATGTCCAAACCACTGTCCCTCTTCTTCACATGTCCAAACCACTGTCCCTCCTCTGGACATGTCCAAACCATCTCATTCTGTCCTCTCTAACTTTATCTCCCAGTATTTCAACCTGTGCTGTACCTCTGATGATCTCATTCCTGATCTTATCCGTCCTTGTCACTCCTAATAACCTCAACATCTTCATTTCTGCCTCTTCCAGTTCTTCCTCTTGCCTTTTTGTCAATGCCACTGTCTCCAGACCATACAACATAGCTGGTCTCAAACTTTTTTCTTTTTCTTTTTTTTGCCCATTCAGGTTTACACTGAGCAATACTGTTTGCTAACAGTTAGTATGACAAAAATGGCTTCAAGTCATGGGATTAGCTTACTTACCACCTTTGTTTGACGTCGTACGACCATACACTTCTGTGATAAATCCACAACGCCAAATATTCTTCAGTATGTGATGAAATATGCAGAAACAAAGCTTGGAATAGAGCTAGACGTCACGGTTGCTTGTAGCTACGTAGCTTCTTTGAGCTCAACGCTGCTAAGACGCCAGAAGACGCTGCCTGGCTGGGTACATATCACGTGACGAATCACGTGGCGCAGCTCTGTTTTGACCGGAGTGGGGGTTCCATCCCCAACTTTGCACGCACCAGGCGCTGTACTGTACACAGCTGCGCTCGGTTCTGACAGTTTATTATAAAACAGGAGATAACCTTGTGGCCAGTTTTCAACTGTGAAGCATAGATGTTCTTGTGCACAGAGAATGTATGACAGTGCGTGACTGCGCAGTCGCATAGCTTAGAGTGAACATTGGTCTTGAGTACTTGTCCACAGCATGGTTTGTGTCAGCAGTTTTCTCATTTAAAGTCCTCCTCCTCTCTTTGTGTGGTTACAGCAGCAGGAGAACCGTAAGCGTCATGGTTCAACACGCAGTGTGGTTGACATGGAGCTGGATGACCCAGATGATGGGGATGACAACGCTCCTCTTTTCTACCAGCCTGGCAAACGAGGCTTCTACTCCCCTCGACCGGGCAAAAATACAGAGGCCAGGCTCAACTGTTTCCGTAACATCGGCAGGTAATGGACTAAAAATATACCAAGTGGTTTGGCCACATAAAAAGACAAGAAGTTGAAAGGTTTTGTTTTTTTGTCCAGAATCCTGGGGTTATGTCTGCTGCAGAATGAACTCTGTCCAATCACTCTGAACAGACACGTCATCAAAGTGCTGCTTGGTAGAAAGGTAAAATGTTTATTTTTTTCAAGAAATACATTTGTATATTTAAAGCTAAATATCAAACCTGCTTCATGATGTTCAGCACTTTGGGGTCAAGTTAATAAGTGATGTTTGTTTCTGCAGGTGAACTGGCATGACTTTGCTTTCTTTGACCCGGTCATGTATGAGAGCTTGAGACAGCTGATCCGCCACTCACAGACGGGTGAAGCAGATGCAGTTTTTGCTGCCATGGATCTGGCCTTTGCCATTGATCTCTGCAAGGAGGAAGGAGCTGGACAGGTACCTGTGCTGTTCTGATAAAAAAATAATAATTAGATGGAAACCACGGTGTCAGAGTTAAATTGTACTGTTGCGTTTGAGTAAGGTTGTTTTCTAACTTTAGAGAAGCACCAAGACAACTAAACTTGTATCACTTTTGAAATAATATCTAATTCATACAAGTACCGTAATTCTCGAACTTTAGAATGCACCTGTGTCTAAGCCGCACTTATTAAATATAAGATAAATCATAATTTTGCACATAAATAAGACGCTACGTTTATTAAGCGGCGAGCATCCACTGTTCAGAATCTGTGCCCAGTCTGCTCCGGCTGTGTGCAGCTTTCTTGTAGTACAAGAATCAGCCAGCAGATGGTGGTCACAGAATGTAGCTATCTTTCAACACACACCCAAGCTGCAAGATTGTCACGTCTTCAAGAAGCATGGCTGTCTGACTCATGGTGACAGCCGTTATATTTTCCTCCATACACGTTGCATCGCCCTATAAGTCGCATCAGTCCAAATATGTCTTTAAAAAGTGGAAAAATGCATAAATACATTGCTTCGCCATATACGTCGCATCTATTATGCGTCACCGCTGACAACCCGGAAATGTGGGCCGGTGTGCCAAAAATTGATGGGCTGCCAAATGGTGGCTGCGGGAGCATGCATGGGAGAACTTTAACAAGAATTTAACAAGATAACCACCTAAAAACAATTATTTGTTTACTCGAAATTATTGTAAAGATGTGTCTGTTTACCTTTTGCTTTATAAAATGCACTTTGACGGTCAAATCATCTGTATTTCAAAACCCGATTTGTGGAAGCGCAGAGGGACAAGCCTCCACATTTCTTCGAAATTTAACAAGAAAAGCATCTAAAACAATTATTTTTCTCAAAATTATAGCAAAGGTGTGTCTCACTTGAACTTTTATTTAATAAATGCACTTTAATGGTCAAATTAGCTGCATTTCACCAGGGCGGTGCAACTGGTTTGACTGTTCCAAGCAGCGAGTAGAACAAAGGTGGGGGTACTGTGGCAGGCCAATTGTCATTAATAGCTGGTGAAGATTTTCAGTCATCCATGACATGATAAATTCAATAAAGTTCAAGACAAAAACAATAAAGTATAAAGTAAAGTATAATAAATAAAGTCCAGTTTTTTTGTCTTGAACATTTTTGAATTTGTCATTATAGCCACTTTTACCTATTACATGATACAACGGCATGTCTCACTGCTACTACTACTCTGACACTCAGACAGACGCACATCTGAGCCGTGCGCTGTTTGTACTGACAGTTTTCAAGTGGCGGGCGTTCGTTCAGCGTGAGGGTTCAGCATGAGGGAAGAGGCTGCCTTTAGCTTTTAAGCTAGCACACCTGCATTGCGAGCCGCTAGTTTAGCGTTACGTCAGTGCCGACAGGTGGTTTGTGGGGCGGGGGTCGTAGACGGGGCGCCCGCTTGAATAATGGTAGGGGAAACACTGGTCTATTGTTGTCATCACTCTTTGTTAAGAAATCAGGTCTCTCTTGTAAATGAGTCCCCGAAGCTCAATGGGATTAAAACCATGTTTTGTGTTGTAGTTATGAATTAAAATAATAATTTTGATATTAGTTTTGTTCAAAGCTTCTAAGAGCCACTGGCATGATACAACGGCATGCCTCACTGCTACTACTACTACTCTGATTCAGAACATAGTCCTCTTATTTTGACTTATTTGCTACAAAAATTGAGCAACAGCTGTAAGAGCTGGTGACATATATTCAGTAACAGCCATATGATATACATAGCACTTTAGCTTATATTAAATGAAAAGTGTTAAATGTTATTTATTAGCATTAGTCACCTGTGATGCTGTCTCACTTGTGGAGGCTTGTTCCAGGTTCCTGGCTGCAGTGATGGATCCTCTGCACTCCTGTGCATGAAGGACAGACTTTTTACGTTCAAAGTTTTTGTCTGTCCATTGTTCCGTAAGACTAATCACGCTAACGGGGCTAACACGACGTCCAAATGTCTGTGGTAAAACTCACTCAACAAGTCGTGCTATCGGCTGTTAGCTTCTCAATGAAGTTAGAAATGACGGCTTGTAACTCGGGTAACGTTACGTCAGAAAAATATCTCAGACTGGGGGCGATGTAGTGAGGCTCAACGTAGTCCATCAATCTTCGGAATCCGACATCCTCACCAACGAAAAATAAAACTTCCACACTGCCGACATTTTGAATTTTCCTCTCAGCGGTGAGATTGGGTAGGCACACGTGATGTCATCGCGTTGTGCTGTCGTTGCAGGCAAACACAGCGCCTTTTATATCGGCGAGTTATTTTAATTGAATGTCCGATATTGAGTTTTAATAGTAATATCAGCCGATAATATTGTGCATCCCTAATCTCAACTTTGAAACAGTTTTTGGGGGTACCTGAGAGTTGGTGCTCATTAACGTTTTGTTTTTCATCACGCAGGTGGAGCTTCTGTCAGGTGGGGTCAACATGCCCGTAACTCCCATCAATGTGTACGAGTACGTGAGGAAGTACGCTGAGCACAGAATGCTGGTGGTAGCTGAACAACCGCTCCATGTAAGTCAGACTTTATTGTTCCTCCCTCATCAGTTTTCTGTTTCTGGAAATATTTTCTCACTCATCAAAATGTATATTTCTCCTGATTCTGTTTAAAGGCGATGAGGAAGGGTTTGCTGGATGTACTTCCTAAAAACGCCCTTGAGGATCTAACAGCAGAAGACTTCAGACTGCTGGTCAATGGTTGTGGAGAGGTCAACGTCCAGATGCTGATCAGCTTCACTTCGTTCAATGATGAATCAGGTGTGTTGCTCTGTCTAGTCGTCCGAGTCCCACTGAGTCAGTGAAAAAAGAATTACCGTTTTCAGTTCCCACTTGAATATTTTAAAGAAGAACTTGTTTGTCCTACAGGGGAAAATGCAGACAAACTTCTCCAGTTTAAACGATGGTTTTGGTCCATAGTAGAAAAGATGAGCATGACTGAGAGGCAAGATCTGGTAAGTATCATTTGTCCCAATGTAAAGACTCATGAGCTTTAATCACTTCAGTACTTTGCTTCTTAAGTATATATATTTAATAAATGGTAAATGTACTGTACTTATAAAGTGCTTGTCTATCTTATCAAGACACTCAAAGTTCTTTACAACACAATCTGTGCCTCATTTATCCATTCATACAGCACTTTACTAGATCTCTATCAAGAATAATCAGAGCTTTATCACATTCATACACTGATGGGACACACATCGGAGGCAATGAGGGGTTCAATGTCTTGCCCAGGGACACTTCAGCATGTGACTGCTGGTGGAATCAAACCCCCAACTCTTGCATTGGAGGACAACTACTCTAACCACTCAGCCACAGCCGCCCCAGTATCCAATGAGACACTTGAACATTAAAAAAAATCAGTCCTGACAATGCTAACAAAGTAATTAATTTCATAAAGCCACTCAGTTTAAAATAAGAAGCTCAGTCTTAAAGTATTTTCTTTGAACCTCATTTCACAAATTTAAAGTTTGAAACTCATGTTTTGAGTTTAAAAGGAACACAACATCAATGTTTGTTCAAGTTTTATCAAAAATAGTTTTTGTTTGTTTTTAAGTCACCAGTGACTTAAAAACAGTGCTTATATAGTATGTAATATATTTTCATTTGGGATTTTAAACATTAGCATCTTTATTGATTATGCTTGAAACAATGTGTATTCTAGAGATTAATTTTTGTGTTTGGAAATGCTGACATGAGATTTCAGAAAATACTCCAAAGGTCACTGGTTTGCAGAAAACTTAACAATATGTGGGAAACAATGTTGAATGACTAAAAAGATGTTTTAAAGTGGAGTAAATGTCTTTAAGGTGATTCTTTGGCACTAGAATAACAAACTGCTTCCTAAGATGAACCAGCTGTAAACAGCCTCCAGCAGCAGTGCAGCATCATCCTTTCTGAAAATATTAATAGTGGCATGGATGTTTTGTTTGGATTGAAGGACTTGACACCAAAGATTAAGCTCATATTTGCTACCGTCATTCATTTAGTTCTTGACCTTTTTTCCTCGGCACACAAGCTCTTAACCATAATAGATATCCCCATAATACCCAGCATTATTAACTGGTTTGTCTGCTCCTCAGGTGTACTTCTGGACCTCCAGCCCGTCTCTGCCAGCCAGCGAGGAGGGCTTCCAGCCCATGCCCTCCATCACTATCCGGCCTCCAGATGACCAGCACCTCCCCACAGCCAACACCTGCATTTCACGTCTCTACGTGCCACTCTACTCCTCCAAACAAATACTTAAACAGAAACTCCTGCTAGCCATTAAGACCAAGAATTTTGGTTTTGTGTAGAAGTTCCACAGAAAAGAGTTTAAAGATTAAAAGAATAACACGTTTACTGTTGTGTAATATTTACCTAGCTCCATTTTTGTAGATTTTTTTTGTCCAGTTTTATGAAATGGCATAAGGTCACTATCTCCAGATGTGTTAATAATTGTTTGTGTTGTGAACACAAACAGCATTTTATTTTTTTTGTTTCTTTTGTTGCAATGAAGAGGTATACGGTCCAGAACATTCCTGTATTGGCACTGTAAAACATAAAGCCCACAGCTCTGTTCTATTGGCTTAAACCTTTGTTTTTCCCAGGAAGTGTGTTTGACAGTAACCTGTCAGCCGAAAACTTAGCCAAAGATGACAGCAGTAGAAATAATAAAAAGAAGAGACACTGTGATTCATTTCTTTTTCCTTCCCAAGAAAAGTACTATCACTGACAGTTCACTGCTGCCTTTGTGGAGAGTCTTTTTTTTCTTGTACAGGGGGAGTAGGGAATTTCAGAATAAACTTGGATGTAAATAAATTGTGTTGTCATTTTATCTGTAAGAATCATGGGGAATATTGTATGAACTGTATTTCTGTAGTTGATGGAAATTTTTCATTTTCACCCTGTTCTGCAGTGTTTTATTGGTATGACAGCAATTTAGTTTTTTTTTTTAATATAAATATATTTTTATTAATCTCCAAGAACTTTTAAGTTACCATTGGAACAACACTTTATAGATCTGATGCATGCTCAATAATCCAGGTAGAAAAATCCAAAAAAGTTCAATCTGGTCCTCTGGACATTCAAAAAAACACTTTATAGACTTTTCCCTCTTCAGGGGTTGCCACAACAGGACAAATTAATAAGTCCAACAATCATTAAGATGTCTTGCATTATATTTAAAAGTTTTTTACTGTTAGAAGACAATATTTTGCAACAAGCGATTGAAACGCTCAAGTCAACGAGATGCACTTGAACCCAACGGGGTTTTGAACCTGGGTTTGACCAATCAGAGTGGACGTCCTCCCACCACTTTACAGTAGCGGCGTCCATGACTCCATGTACATTAATTTGTTGGTTTATTTTAAAGAATAACTTGTTTTTATTTGGATAAATGCGATTCTAAAGAACTAGAACGTGTGTTTATTCGCCAATGGAACTTTAAGAGCGAACCAATGTTCGGCGTGTAATTTAAATGGATTTTTGCATTTAGGTTCATTGCTAGTCTCAAGCGCAAAACTCCATCCATTAAATATAAATATATGTTGTATTCAAAACAAAGAGCTGTGAAATACAAATAAAATATTAGATTAATATTTTAATTGTAATGACCTACTGTTTTCGGACATGTAGATAAGATTTAGGGAAGCTGGAGTTTACTACTGTCTTGAAGGCACCATCCCTCTAGTAATAACGGAACCATATGAGGTGAACTTGCTGTAGTCGCATCGTGCTAGTCAGCGCACGCTAGTATTTTGTCTTAGGACGGTGTCGCGTACTTTGGCTCGTTAGGTCATATAACTCGTCACAGCGGTGTTTTAAACATTCTGCTAATTAGCAGCTTGTCTAGCCTGGCCGATGCTGCTGCCTGATGAATTAATTGGTAGCTATCATGTCAAAGTCGGTACGTTATTTTTAGCTAGCGCGGCGAGTAGCGATAACCAAAGCGTGAATAATCAGCCAGTTGCTTGAAGAAGGTAAATAGTAATGGAGCAGTGGCAGGACGCGGCCTCTCGGCAGGCCGAGCTGCTCACTAATCGTCTGAATGAAGCGTTGTCCCAAGGCCTGGCGTGGCTGCGCTCCAAGCTCGGTGTCGATCTGGGGCTGAAGCCTGAGCTCATTCCGCCATGGATAATCCTCCCTGCGGCATGCGTCGGACTGCTGCTGCTGGTCTTTCTGTGGGCCTCGCTGTTGCGGGCTGTGTTCAAGAAGCGGACCGTTCAGAGCTCCGCGGACGACGGAGTTGACGTAAAGCGAGCTACCAATAAGTTGGTCAAATCGGAGGAACCGAAGAAAAAGAGGAGAAAGGCAGAAAAGGCACGTAAACGAAACCAAATGTGTCAAACTAGCTCCGCTTGCTAACCGTGCGGCTAGCATACAGGCTAAGCTAACGCCACAGTGACACGGCTAGCATGCAGCTAGCGTCTTGGGTTCAGCTGGGAGAGATCTATATCGGTTGGATGATGGTTAAACTGTTGGGAAACTTTATGGCCTTTTAAATGTACTTGATTTGTAATCGTTACATGCGGTTTTCAGAAACCTCAGCCAAATGGAAGAGCTGGTGCTGAGCCACAGGAAGAAGCCATAGTGTCGGAGGAGACAGTGCCACATCATCATTCGCCTCCTCCAGAAGTCAAGGCTGAAAAGGCTGCTGAGGTACTTCTGATGGGCCACGAATATTTGGCATTAACCCATTTAATAACTGTGACATATGTTCTTTAATAGAGATTGCTTTCATTAGTACACAAGTTACAGTAATTGCGTAGGAATAACATCATTATCGTGGTAGCTTCAGTAAAGTAGCAGTTCATAGAAACTGTATGTTCACTGCCTGTTACCATGAAGTGATGCAACTAACTATGTACAGTCAGTAACTTTAGGTTTAGCTTACAGATTTCATTTAGCAAACCTTGATACGACCCCTGGCCTGTGACAGCACATGGTCCACAGATGACACTTGCACTGTTCCTGAAAGATAGAACATGTAAAAAATAAAAAATGTCCTAATGGGGAAAATTTGGCACTAAAAGTTCATAAACATAGATAGGGGAACTTGGACTGCAGTTGTTGATTCATTTATAAATAGACAAACTCAAAGCCTGATTTTATTGACCTTGGTTCAGTGAGCATGAAGCTGAATTAATGACCTTATTTGTTTTATTGATCCTATACAATACTTATGGTCACCGTTTCATTTAGCAGACAAAGAAATCCAAGAAGAAGGCCAAACAAGCTGTGAAGGAGCTCAAGACTGTGACTGGAGATGGCAAAGAACCAGAAGGAGGTGGAAAATAATCAACATTTGCTTGTTTTGACCTGTAATATAAGGATTTTTTTGTAATGATAACTGTATGTTGAGTGCACTTTATTAAACTACATACTAAAAAGCAATTTTTTTTAATTTTACAATATTGTGATTGATGGTTGGAAACAAAGTTTAAGTTAAGAGGAAACTGGCTGAAAGTATTTTTCTTAGCAAAAAAAGTGCAGTTGCCTAATCCACACCACATTTTCTTGTTAATCCCTTAATGAGCCACTTCTAGACTCTGGACTCTTAACTTTTCAGGAACATGGGAGACGAAGGTCAGCAACAAGGAGAAACGTGAGCAACGCAAGAAAGATAAGGGCTCCAGTGATGGCTCAGCCAGTCCTGGAGGGGGGAACACGCCTGTGAACGTCCCCCCGGAGCAGCCCAAAGCCTCTGCTGCACCTCCTGCACCTGCCAGCCAGAAGAAGAAAAAAGGTGCTGGTTGTTTTTTTTGTATAAGCATCTGGAAAAAACCCAACTAACCCTGTGGACCAGAGGAGATAAACAACCCAACCTAACCCGACATTCATTTAGGCGTTTTGTTCCCTCCCTGTTTTTGCCTTTTCATAGTCTCTTGTTGACAGGATAAACTATAAATACAGGCACTATGGGAGTTGAATCTCCAGCGAGTTTTCTCTGGAGAAACACAGCTGAAGTGTTCTGAGAGTGCATGTGTTCTCTTTCCACATGCAGCCTCCTATGGACGGCATTTGTTGACCTTTTTTATGTTTCTAGGTGAGGCTGCAAAGGTGAAGGCTGAGAAGCTTGAAGCTGTTGTTTCTCAAGGTAATTAAAGCAGAAAATGCCTCGCCTTGTTACTCATTACTAATTCAGAAAGTCAACAGTGGTAGCAGCAGGAGCTCATTACTGCAAATCTCCAAGACCTTTCCGTGTTAGTTGTGTTGGCTTCATCTGTTGTGGCTGAATTAAATGTTTTTTGTGGTGTTAGGCAGCAGTGCAGCTGTGGCTCCCAACGTGGCAGTCAAAGTGGCACCAAACGTCGCCGCTCCAAAAATAAGCTCCTGGACAGCTCAGAGGCAGCCTGCACCACTTTGGAGGGCAGGAATCGATGGTAAGAAGGATTTCTCTTTAAATGTTCCCTTTTGACTCCGTTCAGAAACTTTATGCACTCGGAACAGATTTTTAAACCAAATTGTAATAATCTTTTTTTTAATTTACAGTAATGTAAAGACAAAACATGCATTTCATCAGGTATCTGGTATGTCACATATGTGTACTGGGTACAAAATAAATTTTCCAGGTTGTCCGGCGAACCCCCTCTGGACAGAATCTGGTTGTCGACCAAAACTTTTCATTGTCTGCAACCTTTACAATATGGAAGGCAAAAAATATATCAGGAAAAATCTAATTTAATAAGTACCACCATATATAAAGTTTACTATATCCAAATGTTCTCAGTCGGCCATGTTGTGCACTGCTTGGAATGTCCAAGCTCCTGAGCTGCAGACTCTTTCAGGAGCTGCAGGAGTGGAACTTCCTCTTCATCACACTTTGCACTGAGGCACTCACAGCGTATTTGTGCTCAGAGATTAAAGCAGAAAAAATGTTAAGACTGAAATTTCTTTCTGCACCCAGAGGTTATCTGAACACCACCCTAAATATAGAAGATTAAATTTACAGATTTCAGCTCATGTAGTCATTTAATACTATATATTTTTCATATTTGATCATTTATTAAAGTACATTCATCACAGTACAGTTATCTCTGTATGCTTCTAAATTTAATCCCATTTAGATCATCCAAACAGACACCTTGTTGCTGAAACAGTGCAGAATTTAAATATGTAGATATTAATGATAAACTATAAACACCTGAAACTGACTCAGAGAGAACGTCATAAGTTTAAGGTAAAAAAAAAAAAAAATTAAACAGATGCACATCTTTGTTATAATCTGAGGCTTATAAATATTATTCTTTTGGTGTTTAATATTGTTTAATTATAAGAAGTAAAGCAGCAGAAGCAGCCTCCTCCCTCACTGAGACAAACAGGCTGAGTGTGCTCCTGCGAAGCGCTGTCTCCGTTAAGGAGCAGAAGTTTAGTCACACGCACAAGTTGTACATGTCTGTATGATGATGATCTGAACACATTAACGTTTAATATAAAGTTGGATTTTATATTAGGGATGCACGATATTGGATTTTTGGCTGATATGCCGATATGTTAAAACTTATTCGGCCGATAATCGATACTGAGATTTTATACACTTTCCTTTGTCAGAACATAGCCCTCTTATTTAGGGTTATTTGCTACAAAAATTGTGCAACAGCTGTAAGAGCTGGTGACATGTATTCAGTAACAGCCATATGATATGCAGAGCACTTCAACTTATATTAAATGAAAAGTGTTAAATGTTATTTATTAGCATTAGTCACCTGTGATGCTGTCTCACTTGTGGAGGCTTGTTCCAGGTTCCTGGCTGCAGTGATGGATCCTCTGCACTCCTGTGCATGAAGGACAGACTTTTTACGTTCAAAGTTTTTGTCTATCTGTGCTGTAAGACTAATCATGCTAACGGGGCTAACACGACGTCCAAATGTCTGTGGTAAAACTCACCCAACAAGTCGTGCTATCGGCTGTTAGCTTCTCAATGACGTCAGAACTGATGGCTTGTAATTCTGGTAATGTTACGTCAGAAAAATATTTAAAAAATAAAATCAACATTTTGAATTTTCCTCTCCGCCTGAGATCAGGTAGGCGCATGTGATGTCATAATGTTATGCTGCCGCCGCAGGCAAAACCAGCGCCTTTTATATCGGAGAGTTGTTTTAATGGAATGGCCGATGTCCGATATTGAACTTTAACACTAATATCGGCTGATACCATGCCGATAATATCGTGCATACCTGTTTTTTGTATACAAAAATCAAGGGGAGGTCAGGGCGCAGTGTGGGAGGATGGAGAAGAAAAAAAATCTGTATGACTTTTTATAACTGTCCATTGTTGTCATCATTCTTTGTTGAAATCAGGTCTCTATTTTAAATGAGTCCTGGAGGCTCAATGGGATTTGCCTGTCTAAATAAAGGTTGAATGAATGAATAGGGTGGGGGTGATGGTGTATCAGTTCTGGTATCTCCCTTGGCTGCAGTCATCACCTTCAGTTAGGGCAGCAGTGTGTCCTCCTTGTAAAATAGTCCAGGTGAACTGATCGGTGCTCTCACCTGCAGTCTGTCTCTGAGTGAGGAACACCTCCATCACCCTCCATGTATCAGACTGCAGGACCCACCCTGCTCTGCGCTGATTGGCTCAAACTGTGGCTCTGGTTCTTTATTGGTTGAAAGCAGCATAGTTTAATTTCTATATTACTGTATTGGATGGATTTAACAAGGCCACAACAAAACATTGTTTTTTTTTTTTCTTCTTTCATTTTTAAACATGATGAAAATCTGTTGCAGCGATGGAGAACTTTAATCCATGTTTATTTCATTTTGTTGTGCACTGGACCACCTCGAGGCGAGATCAGGTTTTCTGAGATGAAAATGGGTCAAACGGCATCTGCTTATATTAGTTTGTGAGTTGTAGATCCAAACCACGCCACTTAATCAAAAAGCATTCGTAGTTTTGTTTGTGTCTTTGCAGAATTTGTAGATTTAATGCTTCTAAAAATAAAAAAGACAAAACTCAATATATGTGATGTTAATTGATTTTAAAAATCGGGTAATAACTTACAGCCACAATAAGTGTTACTTTATTTTATAAATAATACCAGTAGTTGTTTTTCTTTGGCATGTTAGACAAATAACTTCTTCCAGTAAAATAGTGATACTTTGCTAAAATTATATAATTATTTAGGTCGCAGATTTTTAGGATCAGCTGGAGTGTGTTCAAATGCTCAATAGAGAGCAGAGAAAATATTGTTTAAATGTCTTTAATTTCCTGTGACGTGTGTTTCAGAGTCATGGACTGTGGTTGACAGGGCCCCGCCATCCTCAGACCTGAATCTGGTGTCATCCTCTGGACTGGGAGTTGGTTCTGCTCGTAAGTTTACAGAATGGTTAATTTTATATAAACAAACTCCACTGGGTGGTGCCGTTTCCTCAAATGTTTGTGTTTGTAGGGCCTCAGGCTGTGAGCGACCATCCCTGGCCCAGTCAGCCCAGAGTGGACGATGAGTGGTCTGGACTCAGTACGCTTCTTTTCTACTTCATTTTTAAAGACGTCTTTCCAACTAATGCCTCGTGTTTCTGAAACTGCCTCACCCTTGAGTTGTCTAACGATGTTTGTGTTTCTAAGACGGGAGTTCAGGTGACCCCAGCTCTGACTGGAACGCCCCATCTGAAGCCTGGGGCAACTACGAGGAGCCCACCCCCGAGCCTCCTCGTGTCCAGGAGCTGCCCCTCCCCGAGCCGGCCAAGAGTGATCTCATGGGAGCAGCTGTAAGTGAGAAGTTGTTCTGCAGTTTAAAACGGAATGGTTCAGTGTTCTTGTCTGCAGTGATGATTAATCAGAGCGGGCTGGATAAGCAGAAGCTTCTACTGCTGTAATGTTCTTCATATGAGAACATTCAACAGAGACACGCTCCCATAGAACCATAAAAATCAACTACTCCCACTTCTTAAAGCATTTTGTGGCATGCTTTATTAAAAGTATTTATTATTTTCAGGATGAGGATGAGGATGATGATAAGGACAAGGGAGATGCTACAAGTGATGGAGCAGCTAAAACTAAGAAGAAGAAAAAGAAGAAGAAGAAGGCTGCTGAGGAGGGGGGAGCAGCAGGCCAGGTAACTATAACCCATCACGCAGTGGGTGTATGTTTTTAAACTATGGTTTTATGAAGATGTTTTACCCCTGCCAGTTTCTAAATGCAGCCCTGAATATTTGCTTCACCTTCCTCGTGCTGTGCGCAGGCTGAGGAGCCTCTGAAGGAGACGAAGCCCGCTGCCTCGGTGATGAAGCAGCCACATGCTCAGGAGAACTCTGCTGCCGTCCAGCCTGTCAAAGCTGCTGCTGCCGAGGTCGGTGGGGTTGAAGGAGAGGAGACATGATCTGATGAACGTTCCAAACTCAATGATTCACACTTGTAGATCTTTTGGGTTCTACGAGACATTTTACGTTGTTACTTTTATCAAGCACGGAGGCATCGTTTGTTACCTCATGTTCTGATTAGTTGTGCAGAAGTTGTGTTCAGTTTTTCCATATTTAAACATCAACACGTTTCTTCTGAGCAGGTGAGAGGAGAGCGACAAGTGAAGGAAATCATATCCCAGAAACCCCCCGTCACACAAGTGCCACAGAAGACCACCAATGGAGAGCCCACTGCCAAGCAGAACAACCTCCCTGCTCCAACCCTGCAAAGTAAGCCCATGACTGTCGGCCCGAACCTTCTCAGCACCGCTCCTGAGGCTTTTCTATGAAAAGTACTTGTTGGATTTCAAAAAACTTTATGTATTTCAAGTATCATACTCAGTTGAGGGTGTACAATGAAATTCCAGGGACGGTCTTTGAAAAGACACTCGCAGGAAAACAAGAGCTTTATTAGATATGTCAAGAGAAAACAAACAAGATGTTGGCTCTAAATGTAATTATTTTAGGATAAGACGAGCTTGAAATGTATAAACCCAGCATGCTAGAGTTGTTTTTCCATTTTGTTTTAAAGTTCTATGTTGTGGTCCTTTCGTGTATTTTAACAGTTTTTATGTCCTGAGCTCCAACACTGAATGGAGTTTGGGTCTTTTCAGAAAGACTGCAGTATGTAAACAGCTGCAGCAGACACATGTGTATAAACAAGAGATTTTTATTTTTTAACACTTTTATTGCAAATGTGTCTGAATTCACAGCACAAAGTAGACCTTTTGATTTACTGAAAAAGGACTTGCCCTTGTGCTAAAACTAAAATGTATTTTCATTTGGCTAATTTTTATTTCCAACGTTCTTTTATCAAACGAAAACTGACAGATCAGCAATTCATCTTCGACACAAAGCATTATTTACCCGACAGTAGGGTTAGTCCACGTAAAAATGTTTATGTAATCCTAATTTTTCTTGTTTCTGCAGAAAAACCTGAGGAGAGTCAAGCGCCCAAACCAGCAAAGAAGAAGAAGGCGAGGAGAGAGACCTGAGACGGCTGCCTCCACGCCTCTGTATGCAAGAGACTTCACGTCCTGTTTATGCAACACCTGAAGTGACAGGGACTTTAAATTACGTCGTAATTGAAGGAGTTTACCTTAAAACCTGTCTGAAAGTGAAACAGTTTTGTACACATTGTGTGTCGGTTGTTGGATCATTGAAAACTAAAACAAAATGCAGTGCAATCTAATATAATGAGGTGTTAATGATTTTTATTTGTATGCATCCAATCTTCTGATCTTTAATTCCACTGAATCAAGTAACTGAAGGAGCTGTATTCTAGTCCTTAGACGTGTAGAAAATCCTGATCATGTTTAGAAGTTTGTCGTCTTGATTGATTACAAACGACGTTGACTCTGTAAAAAAAAAAAAAATGGAAACGGTTAATGGGCACCGGGTCACACAAGACCGTGCCAGAAAGACGAACTGGCCTCCGCCCTGCAACGTTTTAATTGGTGCCGTTTGTCGTACAGGACAGTTGGAGCTCAGCGAGGTGTAAACTATTGTAAATGAGCATTGTCAGGCACAGACAGGGGAATTGTCTGCTCTGTATTTTTTGCATTTATTTTTTTTTGCTGTGATTCTGAAAATGTCATCAGCTCTGTCCATCCGGTTCGTCCCGTCTGTCCTGCAGTGTGTCAACTGTTTTCGAGCTGTTTTTACGGCTGCAGATGGGTGGGAGCCTCTGATCGCTAACGCTTCAGTGTCCTCTATTTTACACCTCCTCTCCACTCACAAGTCTTCAGAACCTTTTTGTAAAACTTGTTTGTAACAAAAGAAAAACTAAAGCCATATGTAAAAAGACTTAATAAAGGCCAGTTTTTCTATCTTTGGACATTAATGATATGAAAACTGATTTAGCGTACTCAGTGTTGCTGTTGTGTTTTAGCTAGCCGGCTCTTCTAGCTACCATTGTGCTACTTTTTAGCTCAAGCTGTCCTATTGATTCTTTTAGCCAGCCTTTGGCTAAATTTACCTTTTAGCTAAGTTATGCAACTTTTCATTTGTTGGTAGGTTTTGTTTATAGCTCTGACCTAGTGATTTTAGTTGTTAAGCATGTTCTACATTTAGCTTTTAGTGTTCTTTTAGCTTTATCAAATCATTTTCAGCTTCATCAATGTCATTCAGTGCTCGGCATTCACTACATTTTCATATATTTCGACACACTGTAAATGAAAACACCGTTACTACCATGATCAGTGTTTTTTAGCAGACCACTTGTAAAGAAAAAAGTCATCAGCATTAGTTTGTCCTTCCAAGTGCATTTTGTGGAACCAGTAAGGAAATTATTTGAAGAAAAAACACATGTAACAATGCTCCAGTACAATAAACATTGCAAGATACCTTTGCCCAGAAAGTGTTAAACTGCAAGATGCAAAATGATCAGAAAGCTTCAAATGTGAGACAAAATTTGGTACATTTTTGTTTCAAAGACTGGACAGACAAAAACTAAGAACAGAAAACGTGCTGGTAAACTCATACCATGATGGACAGAACCTTGCATCATGATCATTGATAACCTTTCTCCAGTCGTATGCCTAATCAAAATCACCAAAGGACAGGAAGACCCAATGTTTAAATGGGTTTGATAAACGCAAAGTTTTCACCAATCTCACAACTAGTCATCCAAATGAATAAACCAAGAGCATAGAGACACAGACTGCTTAAACAAAGGCAATTATTGAAAGCTTAAAATAACGTTTCCACCAGACAGTTTCACAAATCAATCAAGACAAGTTGACCATCAGTTACCAATGGGGATGGGACATGAAACTCATCAGTTGTGAGATTTGAGTGAACAAGCTTTATGGCAACAACAATAGCCCCAATCTGCTTGATCCTTAACCTTGTGCTCCATGATTTCATGACTCTGACGACTGTAAAGCCTAGACTAATGTAAAAGTGTTTCAAGGATCTATCTCCATTATTGGTGGTTAGAGAAAGTGGGCCTGTGATCATAAGATCGCCAGTTCAACTCCCAGTACTAACAACATCAAAATGTGGGTGGGATAGGTGAAGCACCCACACCTGCCTCCACCCTCATTTCCCCCACTCTGGGCCAGGACCCCCCCCCCCCCCCTCCATCTGCTCCCCCAGGCGCCCTAGAGAGCAGCTCTCTGCTCCACACAGAGGGCTGTGGTAGCTTGGTGGTCTGTGGCTGCATCAGAAAGGACATCTGGCGTAAAAACAATTCTTTGTGCGAGTTACTTTGCTGTGGTGACCCCTGGGAGCAGCTGAAAGAAAAAAAAAGTTCTGAAGTCACATTTTTAAATGAATGCTCATACACTGTTGATAATCATGCAAGATCTATTTTAGTAATTTACTAGAGAAACAATTTCTCTTGTAAATTCTTCACACAAAGTGAACAAGGTGACAGTGAACGGAAAAGCACTCTCCTTACATAGCAGTCAAAATTTTGGATTAATTTATTTTTCTTATCCAAATCGGTTGTCTAACATTAAAATCGTATAATTAAATTTTTCAAATGAACTTAATTTTTAAGATAATGAAAATAATCTTTAGAATGTTGTAATAAATAAATAGCATCAGATAGTAAAAAGTTGTACAACTACTTTTTCTTCTTTGACTTTTAAACTTGTGAGATGAGTCAGAAAAAAAAAAACATCTACAACATCCATGTCTTCTGCTGATCCCTTCTGATAAAATCAGGACATCCTCCTTTGAGCTGTAAGTATCCACTGGGGATACTCTACCATCTCAACCAGTGATCGTCTGGAGGATACTTTTTTTTGTGATGCGTATCTGGAATACCTAGATGTCAACTACCACCTGGTGTTGCTTCACATACTGAATTTTTTGTTTACTTTCCACACTGTTTTTTTTTAAATTTATCATTCTCTGTGGTGCTAAGAGTGGCATGTGACTGCATCATGGATAAACATTATTTTGATATGGAAAGGGGATCTTTGATCACAATTTTCTTTTGCTTCAGTGGGTACAGAGGTGTTATCAGACATCATCTTTAAGTTGGAATCACTAAATGTTACTGAGTGTCATTACTGACACAGCTGAAGTTCCCCCTGCAACTCTAAGATGCCTTTTGTTGAAATTCAGAAGCCTTCCAAGTGGGGGATATGTAGCGCAAAGAAACCCTCATCTTTCATTGACTCTTTGAAAAGTCAATTTGCCCTTGCTAACTCTGGATGTGTTTTTGATAGTGTTTACATTTCAAGCTTTCACACTCTTGTACGTTTATTATGTGATATGCATTTAGCATAGATGGAATGTTTATGCTTCCTCTAAAACTCATAAAAAACACGATTTCTACAAAATGCAAGTTATTCATAGGATTGTGAATTTTTTTGAAATGTTGATGAGTTTTGTGTGCATTTGTTGGATAAGAAAGTAATCAAATGGTTTAACAAACTTGATTTCTTTAGTTTTATAAAAGTTTAGTCAACAGTTGTAACGTCAGGAAAACAAGTGCAGACCTCAAGGTTGTTAATCCTAGCAGTGCACCTGAGAGTGTGACAGTGTTGACGTCATGTCTGATAACTTAAGAGAAACCTGGGCTGACAACTGCTGCTCCTTTCACTTGTTTATGACTTTGTGTGACATCTGCTCTTTCCTTTTGTCTCATTGTTATGGATACATAATCATGGAAGTCTTCAGCATCAAATTGGGACCCAATCACGCTGCTTGCCTTTGATGGCTTGGTTCGTGCCTCGAGCACCCAGACTCAAATGCTTTTGGCAGAATGGATCAAATCTCGGAGATTATTCTCAGGCACAGTCCATTGGTGTGGTCATGTAATTTGGACATGGAACCAAGTGGACCAACATAGACTCAAGGTAGATGTCACTAAAGATCAGCCTGTCACCAAAATAATTTGTGTTTATCTGAATTTGGCTCCCCTGGTTGGCCTTGCAGGCCATCTTATCTGAATTCACCTGGAGAACATGTAATCTGACGCCCCCCCAAAACGAGGAATTCCAACTGATCAACCAGAGGAAACCAGCTGAACAAACATTCTGTTACCATTTCAGGACTCTTGGATTCCCATGGGTGTTGTCCTTGGCCATTCCCCGACATCCCTCGAGAATGTTTACGGATCTCACTGGAGGGAACTGGTTTATTATTCCATCCTTATCAGAACTCTTACAGTGCCCTTGAGAGCGTCCTTGGACATGCTCACCGCTCTCGTCGTCTCCCCCCTCTGCGGAATGTCTACATCACTATGTGCGAGGCGTTTTTTTCAATATTAGAGTTTTTCTTCTCAGCCAAGAAGAAAGAGTTTGATAGGAATTTCTTTTGTTTGCCTCCAATTCTTACACGTGTCCAGTTTCATTACTTTTTTTGTCTGTCTAAACAGATCTCACTGAGATTTATCTGTCTAAATAAAGGTTGAATGAATGAATGAAAGATAACTCTTCAGCCCAGTGGTGTGGTCTACGCGATACTCGGGTATACAGAGTATACCCACTAGAAAAGCTTAAGAATTTCAATATACTCGTTTAAAAGTGCCCAATGATACATGACATATCATTAAGCATGTGTCATTGATACGTTAATCAGCAGGTAAACACTTCCGTAACAATCTATCTGTATGCAGCGCCTGTTTATTACATTCGCTTATCCAGCAAATTATTGTATTATTCTGTACTTACTACTTAATACTTGAACATGTTTTGCTTTGATACTGTTTTGTAAATTATATAACATGTTTTAAATACAAAGCCAACGGATGTACAAAGTTTGTTCAAATATAAGCATCAGAGAAATTTGGAAATGTTGTTTAAAAATCAAAATAAATAGACAGTTACATTGTACGAACCAGTGTACTTTGGTTTCTAAGCACAGTGCACCCACTGCAGACTACACCACTGCTTCAGCCATAAAGTCACCAAGCCCAAAACATATAAAACTATTTTTATTAGACCATAAATTATAACACAGTTTTACCAATTGATCATTATCTTGTACTGAATAAAACTGAAACTCTGGTATGAGGACAAATGGATCATATTATTTGGATAGTTATGATAGAATACTTTTGAAAAATCAATGAAAGTTTTAAAATCAGAATATAAGCAGAACTTGTAAAGTAAATATACAGGAACCCTGTGTTAAGAGAAGCGACTAGAAAACTCCAGTTTGACGTATTTATTGTAATCCCCCGCTACATAACTTTCTCGAAATCACGAGTTACATAATCGGATTTGAACGGATCTAGTCCGGCACCATCAACCAAAAACGGTTTACACTTTACAGCGTCTTCACCTGACGCAGTTTAAACCTGCACTTCACCGGAAATACGGCTTCAAAATAAAAGCGTAGTGCTATGCATCTTTTTGATTTAATCGTAGAGAACTCTTTATCTCAATAATAGTATTGATAAATGTATATGTACACGGAAAAAAGTAAAACATTTCGTGGGTTTGAAACAAGAGAATATTTTCTCCTAAAACGGTCAAGGAAAATTAACGGACAGCTTTATTTTGAAACCGGAAGTTAAATCACGCCCTCGCGCTTGACGCGCGCGCCTCGTTTAATCCGCTCAGTAAACAACAAACAGGTCAGCGGCGCGTCGTCATTTCTCGGTGCGAGCCGTCGCTCAGCGGACGTTGTTGGACAGCGGGTCGTGTTTCCGCCTCGAACACCGACACAGACCGAGCTCAATGTTCGCAGAGAAGATGCTGGTGTCTCCGTGGGAGCGCTGGTTCTCCACCAGCTGCTGCCTGTGCTGCCATGTCCGCACCGGAACCATCATCCTGGGGGTCTGGTACATGGTGAGCACCGGTCGGTCTGTGGCTCCACCAGGGAGCTCACATGATGGATCCCTACAAGATTTAAGAGCTTAACTCAGTATTAATACTTACATCATGGTTCCATCCACATAAAGATGGAAGTTATTTAATCTGGATTCCCCTGCTACCTTCTAATGTTGTCATTATCTAGTGTAAGAAAATTATATTCTTTGTGTTCTTTAACTAGGATTTGGTGATCTGTGTGTCCTAATCATTACCATGAATAAGTTTAATTCGAGGTTATAGAATACGTTCAAACAACTTTTAATAAATCAATTAAGCTGTGCATTCTTGAGAGGTATTTCTGTAGTATATCCCAGTATGAGGTGAATGAAACCAGACACCACTTGTGGAAAAATCCCTCCTATGAATAAATGAACACCAGGTCTGTTCAGGTGACAGCTTCAGGTGCCAGGACTGCAGAGACCTCTCCATTACATTCATCAATGAGTCATTGGGTAATGAAGTACACCGGCCAGGACTAAACAAGCACTCTAATGTATAACCCACCATCTATCTCCAGGAACGGCTGTAAATATTGTACACATTTTTGTTTTTTGTGTAAAAGCTCGTTGCATTTTAACGTGTTTTCCTGCTGACAACTGGGAACTCTGTATCTATTTTCAGTTCCACATGCACTCATTTAGAATGACAGTAAAGCTTGAAACCCTAGAAAGCCTGTTTAAAAAAAACTTGTACATAATTAAATTATTAGTACAAAGAAAGGCCGACATTCCTCTGCACCTGAGGTTTACACTAAAATCATCTGATGAGAAGTTATTTTTGTTGCTGAAACGTTTCACCTTCCATCCAGAAGGCTTCATCAGTCAAGGAAACACACAACACAAAACCGATTCTTCCCCCAAACAGCTTACTCCAAACAAACCAGTTATGTTGGTGCTAAGATGGTGTCTTTGGCACGTCCCCTCCTCTGGTGCCGGCCCTCTTCCTCGTCGACAGTCACGTCAAACTGGTTCAAAACCAAAAAAGTCCATGCTCAATAATCCAGGTATCGCATGACATATTGTTGAGAGCTCTTGTGAGACGCATTAGTGCTAAGAGAATGTGTTGAGGGTGACTCTCAGCTACTACCACAGAGTTTTAACACAATATGTGTTGAATTGACAGAATTAAAGCCATTTTTGTTTCCTAAGGTTAATTGGCTGTGGTGACTATTTGAAATAAACTGTTTCCAAAATTAATCAGTTGTAGATGTACATCTTTTTGACAGTTTCATTAAAATCTATCCAGTGGTCCACCAGACGTTTTGCTAACAATCTGACAGTTGACGCTCATATTTAATGCCAGCGTTTAATGAACAGATCTTGTGCGTTTGGTTAGTAATGACACTCGGCTACACCAAAACAAATCTGAGCTGAAAATTATCAGAGTTTTATCATAAAAAAGTTGAATCGTGTCATCTGCACAGTTTCTTTTTTGGAAGAAACCTTTCATCCTTCATCCAAAGGACTTCATCAGTCTGAGGCCTGCCAACAGGATCTGTCGTATTAAGTAGCACCTGGTTGACGTGTTTCAAACCCGTCTGCTGTGGAGTTCTCAGTCAGAATGCTTACACATGAAAAATGGAGGACCATCAGTCTCAAACAATCGATCAGTGCATAACAATCAAATGTTAAAGGCAAAATGGCTGTTTACTACTCACAGAACCAGCCTGAGGACAACCAGACCTAGATGGTTAAAAATCCTGTTGGCAGGCCTCAGACTGATGAAGTCCTTCGGATGAAATGTTTTCTTCCAAAAAAGCAACTGTCCAGATGACACGCTTGAACATTTTTGTGATTTATTTACCTGGATGATTGAGCCTACGTACTCTTTGCAGCTGAGTTTTAGTCCCTTTGTCTTCACCAGGATTGCTTGGCTGCGGCAGCCATTTTAAATGGGGTTGATTTCAAACGGTTATCAGTTGTAGATGTGCGTCCACCTTCTGGTAGTTTCATTAAAACTCATTCACTGTTCATGAGATATTCTCCAGCACTACAGATAAACAGACTCTTTGCAAACATGATCGCCGCTCGCCTTCTGTGATAAATATGATTGTGGACTTCAGAAGGAACAAAAACACCTACATCCCCCTGAACATAAGAGGATCTGCGGTGGAAGTGGTCTCCAGCTACAAGTACTTGGGTGTACACATGAATGACAACCTCAGCTGGAGCAACAACACCACCAGCCTGATCAAGAAAGCTCATCAGAGACTCTACTTCCTCAGACGGCTGAGGCGAGCTGGTCTGGGAAGCTCAGTCCTCACCTCCTTCTACAGGTGTGCAGTGGAGAGCATCCTGTGCTCCAGCATCAATGTGTGGCATGGAGGCTGCACAGCTGCAGAAAGAAAAGCTTTGCAGAGAGTGGTGAAGGCTGCACAGAAGATGTTGGAATCAGTCTCCCCACCATCACAGACATCTACACCTCCAGATGCAGGAAGAGGGCCACCTGCATCATGAAGGACCCCACCCACCCAGCACACACACTTTTTGCCCCACTCCCCTCAGGAAGGAGGTTAAGGAGCATTAAGTGTAGAACCACTAGACTGAGGAACAGCTTCTACCCTGAGGCTGTTAGACTCACGAATCTCTAACTAGAATAATCACTGTGAAAAACCATATCATGTTGCTGCTGATCTGTTTCATGTTGCTGCTGATCTGTTTCATGTTGCTGCTGATCTGTTTCAATGTTGATGTGTTCATGCGTGCACATCTGCTCACAGACTCATGTTCATGTTTGTGCTGATGTTCAATGTTTTATGTTATGAGTGCTTAGTGTATATTTAGTTGATGTTTTTCTTAGTTCATATCTTAGATGTTATTACTGTTTTTCTTAGACATTTTATTGTCGGATGTAACTGGGACCCTGTGTTCATAATTTCGCTCCACCACATGTACCACATGAGGTGCGAATGACAATAAAGAAACTCTGACTCTGACTCTGACTCTGAAATATACATTTCATCCTCTGAGTTTTATTAGGAAATTTCATACGGTGGCTTTGAAGAGTTCTTCGTGACATTTTGGATCACCACTCTTCTGTTCTTGCTCATTTTGCCATCTGCCTGACTGTCCTTCTTTATCTGTCCATATGTCCTCTGTCCCTAAGCTCATCAATGCCGTGGTGTTACTCATCCTGCTCACGGCACTCAGTGATCCTGAGCAGTACCACCTGACCAGCGCCGAGTTGGCTAATGACCTGGATGTCATGGATGATGCAAGTAAGTGACCCAGAAACCCAGTGATTTACAGGAAACACCTCAGACCAGGTTGGTTAGGAACATTTCTAGAGTTTTTAGGGCAGGGCTGTTCAACTGGCGGCCCGCGGGCCTGTAATGGCCCGTGAATGACTTCAATCTGGCCCACTTCATACAAAAACAAAACAAATTATATATATATATATTATTATTTTTTTTTTATTTAATGAATAGGGCTGGATTGAAGTCATTCATTAAAAAAAACAAAACATTTTTTTGGGTGGGGGGGGGTTCTGGGTTTGGGTTTTGGGTTCTGTTTATTACATTTATGATTCAATGCAATAAAATAAACAAATTTAACAGGTAACAGATCATTGTAAACTTTGGTTTATTTACATAATGATTTTAATCGCTGGATGTCCGGCCTCTGAGCTGTTGGCTTTCAGAAACTGTGTCCCCCTGAGCAGTTTAGTTGAATAGTCCTGCTTTAGAGACGTTCCCTACAAAGTGAGTTCTGGTTTACAGATAGTGAGCTTTTCTCAGGTAAAGAGTTGCTTTAAAGGATCTGGTGTTTCTCACTGTAACTTACTGTGTTCATAGTGTCAACATGTCCATCATAAAACTGCTTGTGGTGTTAGAAGCTCCCACACACAGACGTGCAGTACGGTCCATCTGTCTGAAACAAAGCTGTCTTAGTCCAGGACCACACAGGAACAGTTTACTGGAGCTCATGGTGCGGAGTCTCTGATTGGGAATGACTTCATAGTCCCAGATTAGGGTGATCCATTAATACAGGTTGTCCCAGCCGGTGCTGTGGCACTAGAAGCAAACATGCAGAAAAACAACACGCTGCATTTTTCTGAGCAGTTTTGACTGTTCAGAGGAAGCTGAAGTGTATGTGTTGTGAATGACTGTCAGCTACTACCACACCAAATATTGGCTCAATACCTGCTAAATTAATTCAGGTATTTTTGTGTAAGCTAGGACCAATTAACTGTGGCAACCATGTTGAAATGAAGCTTCATTAAAATCTGCCTAGTGATTCAAGATATATTTTGCTAACAGATGCATAAGGTTTCCCTCCAACAGTTAATGTCAAAGATTTACACAAAGACATTGCCAGCTGTGTTGCTCTTCAGTGTTGTGTGTGTATATCTGTGAAGCTGTTGGAATAGAGACATTTTTGTGTTTTTATTGGTTGCCTTACTGTGGTGGCCATCTTAAATCAGATTGACTTCAGCTGGATTGTTTAGTTGGATTGTTTAGTTTTCTGTACAGTACTATCTAACCCTTTTCAAGTAGCCTTTTTATGCAGCCGCCTGTTATTATCCACCTGAAAGGGTCTTGCTCTTCCTTAAACTTTAATGTGGCCCGAACCGCAATGTGTACCCCCACAAATGTTACAGCAAAACAACTGGCTCGGCACTGTGATGTGTCAGATTATTTTGATTGGCATTTCGAGTTACCATGGCAACGTAATTTGCACACAAAAGCCCTATTCGCGTGGGATTAGTTTTACCTAAGGATCACATGTAATAAATAAATTACTCCCCAACATCTGCTTTTTATGTGGTGCATTCGCACGGGACAACCAAAGCCTGAGATTTAGCTGAAATTTACGAATATCTTCCAGATATGATGTTAACGCACTGCGTTGTCAAGACCGGGCCGATCCATATAAGGTGCTTAATGTGTGGGCCAGGCCGGTCTCAGGCTTTGATGTGGTTTTATGAATCATCTCAGAGAAAACTAAAAAATGAACAATATAAAATTGTGTTAATCTATTGTTGAGGAGGAGGCAGGTCTGACCGGCCGGTTTAAGAGGTGAAAAAAAACGTCTCGTTAAGCTCAGATGGACAACCTGTCACCGGTCGCGCGCGTCCGCTGACTCGCCGGTTAAAATGGACTTGTGACCTGTCCAGAGTGTACCCCGCCTCTTGCACAGTGATGGCTGGACATGGGCACCAGCGACCCCCGCTACCTGAAAAGGAAGAAACAGGTAAATATAATGGATAGATGGATGGATGGGTCAGCTGATCACCGGCTGCGCGCGTCTCTGCACCTGCTGTCATTTGCAGTGAAGGAAGTAGCAACATCTACAAAAGCCGAAGCGAGCAGTGCGTTCATTTAAAATAGCCTTGCTCTATATTTTTCCAAATGATTTTGCTTAAACAAAAACCACCTGATTACGTTTCGGATCCCGCCCATTTCTGTCCAAATCACAGAAAAGCCTGTTCGCATTGGTTTATTATTATCACAGGACCTCGGAGTTCAGCAAAATATAGTAGGTAATGTGTGGGGGAATTTTTACTTTACAAATTACTGACATTGCCGATTCGCACGAGATTAACAACACAGACAATCTCTGTAATTATTACAAATAGCATGTGGTCCCTAGGTAAAACTAATCCCGAGCGAATAGGACAGACGCCATTTTCTCATTGAAAAACATTGGCAGAACTCTTCTTTGGTAGCAGTTCCTGTTTTAAATGTGCTATATAAATAAATCTGACTTGACTTCACAGCCTCTAACTGCCACAGTGAGGTCACATGACACAGAGAGAAGAAGTCTCTGAACAAAACCCTGATTAACATTTGAAACCATTATGATTCAAGATGGCTGCCACAGCTATCTCAGAAAACACAAAATTGACTATAACTCTGTTATTCTTTGAGATATTGAGCTGAAATTTGTTCTGGTTGTAGCTGAGAGTGAGTTGTTATACATTCCTAATGCAAATAAAAAATCCAAGATGGCTACCTTATCTTGAGAAAAAAATATAACAGCAATTTGAAAAGATATTGAGCTGAAGTTTGGTGTGGTAGCTGACAGCAACACATTCTGAATTCAGTTCTAAAAATGCAAGATGACAGTCTAGCTAATTTAAAATGGATAAAATTCTGAGGTTTTTAGAGCTATTCAGCTGAAATTTGGTATATTGGTAGCTGAGAATAATCCCTCATGGACTGATTGCAAATCAAACATCCAAGATGGCCGCCTGAGCTAAAAAAGGAAAAACACTATAAATCATCCATTTTTAGAGACATTAAGCTGAAAGTTGGTATAGTGGTAGCTGAGAGCAATGTTAAGCATATAGTACTGTTGAATCATTTTTAAATGGCCACAACGTGGCAGTCCCCGTCAAAAGTTTCTCCAAGGACTTTCAAGTTGCTTTTTGTGATTTAGTTTCAGTTCAAAGTGAACTTTGTTGGTTTTTAGCGTGGCTTAGCCAGTAATTTTTGGAAACAGTCGCTGTCGGCTCAGTCCATGATGTCAACACACATACGTCAGTGTCTGCAGTTTCATCTAACGTGAGACATAACATTTTGGTTTCTGAGCTTTGAGCAACAAAGTCTAATTATTTTAGCTGAGTTAAATCAGTTTTTATACTTTTCATTGTTGCTTTTTTAGTAAAGCATAGCTAATCTCTCTGCAAACACAGTTTTGTCAACTCCTGAATTGAAATGAAGGTACTGAAAAACTAAACCAGAGCTAAAACTCTGTGAATGTCTGAGCTTTGAATCAGCAAGAGGACACAAACATAAATTAAAACATATTTTATTGTTTAACATTTTGCTAAATATCTTGATACTAGACTCTGACTCTGATGTTTTAGAGTTTGATACTTTCAAGGTCTGACTCTGTCAACTCTCCTGACATTTTACTAAATTAGACTCAAAATAAAGTGGCATGTTTTCTCGTTGGTCTCAGGAGCCTCAGTTTGGTTCATCCTGTGACTCGGAGCTGCAAGACGATCAGTTAGTAGCAGAAATCGTCTGCATCGCCTTTTACCGGGTTACAGGACAAACAGATGTTTGTTCACAGAAGTGCTTCATGGTTTTCTTCTTTAGTCTGGCACACGCTGCTCTTATATAACACAATTATTGGTTTTCTCCTGTGATGAGCTGATATGGGGCAATGCTCTCATTCTATATTGGTGACAATTGCATCATGCTCTTTTTGTCTTTGTTGCACACAATGTTCTGCTCCCTGCTCAGCCAGGCCTGATGTCCTTAACATGTTCTGAAATGTAGTTGTATGTGCCTTTAATCAAGCCTGTGATAAACGAATTGTGTGCAGTTTGAAACTATAACTTGTGTTTTTCTGCTGCAGACATGTGCATCGCCTCTGCAATCTCTCTGCTCATGATACTTATATGTGGGATGGCGACATACGGTGCATACAAGGTAAGAAAACAGTTCCATTGTACAGTCGAGAAGCGCTACACAACCTTTTAAAATGGTTTTCCAAACAATTTAAACATGTAACATTGATCCTCTGTACATTTTCAGACATTTTAAAGCCAAATACTTTCAAGTTAAAGTATCTTTATTATCCTCAAGGGGCAATTAGTTTCAGTCAGTAGATATAAAACATCCACACTACACAAGACATTAAGACATTAAAACAACAGTACAGGAGTCATCAGTTTTCATTGAGAAACCTGATCTCTACAGGGATATATTTGTTTTTCAGTCTAAAAAAGTTAAATCTGGTCCTCTGGACATTCAAAAAACAAAACAAAGCAAAACAACAACAAAAAAAAGTAGAAACCTTTCTTCCATCCGAGAGACTTCCTCAGTCTGAGGTGCTGTGTTCAGCTCAGTCTTATAAACAGCACATTCTCAGAGTGGATCAACCAGTTTGCTGCTGTTTTGGTTGTAGCATCAAACTGGTTGATCCACTCTGAGAAGGTGCTGTTTAAGAGACTGAGCTGAATACAGCACCTCAGACTGAGGAAGTCTTTCGGATGGAAGACGAAACATTTCTACATTTTTTTTTTTGTTTTGCTTTGTTTTGTTTTTTTGAATGTCCAGAGGACCAGATTTAACTTTTTTAGATTTTTCTACCTGGATTATTGAGCATGCATCAGAATAGTTTTTCAGTCTGTTCATTCTACATCTGGGCAGCAGATACCTGCGTCCAGATGGAAATAATCTGAACTCACCATGGAGGGGATGATCGAGATCTGCCAGAATCAGCCTGGCTTTGTTCACTGACCTCACCTTGTGTAGGTCAGTGAAGGTTCTGTAGGTCAGTGAGGTTCTGTAGGTCAGTGAAGGTTCTGTAGGTCATTGAGGTTCTGTAGGTCAGTGAGGTTCTGTAGCTCAGTGAAGGTTCTGTAGGTCAGTGAGGTTCTGCAGGGCTATGCCAGAAGTTTTACTGCACATCCTGACAATCCCAGAGAGTTTCTTCCTGTTCTTACATCAAAAGTCCAAACCAACAGATGAAGGTGAACGTTAAGAGACTCAATAAAACATTCTTATAAGAGTAAAATCAACATTAAAACCACAGAGCTTCCAATAAAATACAGATAATTAAATAAAAAATAAAAAACACCAAGTATTTTCCCTGCAATCAAGTTTAAGCTCTGAATCACGTCCACAGTCTTGGTTTTATGGGTGAACTTCTATCTAATCAGCTAAATAAGATGAATGTGTTTGCTTCAGCTGCGTGCTGCTTGGATTATCCCCTTTTTCTGCTACCAAATATTTGACTTTGCCCTCAACGCCCTGGTGGCCGTCAGCATCGTGGTTTACCCAAACACTATACAAGACTACCTGCAGCAGCTGGTAAGAAATGATTAGTTGTATTGAGATGTTTTTGTCTGCAGGTGTTTGTGAGTGGTGCTCAGTCTCTGCTGCTGTTGTTCTGTCTCCTGTGCAGCCTGATAACTTCCCGTACAAAGAGGAGGTCGGCGCTCTCAGTAATGTGTGCCTGGCCCTCATCGTGTTGCTCTTCATTGGCTGCATTCTTGGCTTCAAGGTAACATTTTCTTACTTCACTTTACACATATTTTTGATACATACATATATTTAGCAACACAACTCTTTACAAGCCTGTAATATCACAATATGTGACCTTGTTTTTACAAAAACCCTGTGGGGGTACATTTAAAGTGCCTAAGTAGGATTCATTTTGTTTATTTATTTATTTTTTTGCCACATACATTTTATTTACCGTAAAACACCCCCAAAGACTAAAGAATTAAAATGTAGAATTTGATTTATTACATTGTGTTCGTTCAATTTAAATGTTCACCGAGGTACCTGCCAGTTTAACTGGTATTCTTACTCACCTTATCTTACTAACACTAACAATAATGTACTTCTCAAAGCTGGTCTGGCATGTGCCTAACATGAGAAAAATAATCAAAAGAAATAATACTTGTCCAGCAGGAGAAGAAAAAAACAAAAAACTATCTGATAATTACCGTAATTTCCGGACTATAAGCCGCCACTTTTATCACACTCTTTGAAGACAGCAGCTTGTACAATGTTGCAGCTAATTTATGGATTTTTTTTGACGGGTTAACGAGCTTTGTGCTGCCGAAACATTTAGTCTTGTCACACCCGGGCGCTCACAGAGCTGCCCAATACACATCTGTCTTGGGGCGTGGGTCCTCGTGACTCAATGAGACTACCTGTATAAACAAATGTTAAAAAAAGTCTGACCAATGACATTACCGAACAGCCTGTGCTCCTCCCTGGTGGCACATCAAAGTATATGCAGCCACTCAAAACAAGTGTAAATCGTACATTTGTGTAAATATCTCTGTTACAACGTGGACACCCTTGGCTTATAGACAATAGTGTTGTAGTACTCAAGACCACTTTTTGATGGTCTCGGTCTTGCCTCGGTCTCGGACATTGAGGACTCTGGATTTTATTTCAAGACCAGTCAAGACCACAACTGTGTAAATATCACTATATTTCCAGAATATTGTCCAGTTTATTTGTAACATCTTTGCTTTCACTGGATGCAAAACGTACTGATTTAAATCGAAGCGATAACGTGACTCATGGCTAAATACACGTTTTTGTTACTGCCGTCACGCCCACCCCCTTTCACTCACACGTGGTTCTGTACCAACAGAACAATGCAGACAACAGAACGTAACGTCACAACCAGGGGTGAAAGTAAGCCTGTACAGTCCAGTACTGCGTACCACTAAAAGATTCTGCGCTGGTTCACAGTACCTGGAAGAGAGTGGCTGTCTGCTGTAAAACCTCATTCAGAACCAGTCACGGCTGCACTTTGGGTCAGAATAGATTCTCTAGCAATAAACAGTCTAAAACACGACTTAATTAATAATTAGTTTTTTTTTCTCATTTCAAATAGTTTCTGAACTGTTCGTGCTCTGCTGGAGCCTCGTTTCTCTACTGCAGTGAAGTTAGTTTTATGTTGGACGTTGGACATTCGAGCTCCGTGGTTTCAGCGGTGTGTTCCTCTCGTTCGGTCTGAAGCAGGCAGTCTGATTTCAGTCAGCTGAGCTCAGTCTGCCCCTCCTCTGAGACGTACTGGTTCACTTGGGGACCAACAATAAACTATAGAACGAAACACTCTTCAGAATCAAAAATTAATATATTTTACATCATTTGACCCACTGACACAAAACTAATGTTAAACTCCTCTAATAGACCTGACAAGACGAGACACCATCATTTCTCATTTTAAAGCATTTTATAATTAGTTGTTGAGCGAAAACCATGATTTTTGAACAAATAAATTATGTAAAACTAGAAAATACTTTAAAATGAGAAATAAATGCAGGTGCCTCATCCGTCAGGTCTAGTAGAGTTTAACATAAGTTTTGTGTCAGTGGGTCACATGACATGAAAATTATTGTACAAAACCACTGAATGTCTGATTTCTTTGTTATGTAGCTTTGAAAATTTAGAAAAGCTGATTCATTCAAAAGCAAACTTAAAGTTGCAGTATGTAACTTTTATGAAAATTTTTTTTTTATATAATAAAAGTTATATGTTTTTTACACATTTGTTAAAACTGTCACTATGTCGTGACAGTATGGTATAAGACAGATAATCTGTGAAAAGAGTGAGCTCCGAGACTTGAGGTCTTGGTCTCGGACCCCAAAAGTCTTGGTCTTGTCTCGGTCTCGGTACACTCTGGTCTGTCTATATATATATATATATATATATATATATATATATATATATATATATACAAAAAATATTTTTAAATTTAGTGGTCGCAGCTTATATTCAGGTGCGCTCAGTAGTCTGGAAGTTAGAGTACATGTCTAACATGTTTTTTGGTCGGGTTGTTTCTGTTTAGGTAAATCTTTTGCTTTGGTTTTTGTGCATCTCTGCTGACATTCAAAAACCTCTATGAGCTTTAAAAACCACATTGAGATGCTTCTTTAATTTACTTTCTTTATCACTTTTTCATTAGAAACCCAGAAGCTTCACTTTTTCTTTCTAATGATGTCTGAATGAGTTCCAAAATTTTTGAGAGGTACACGGAGCATCCGATGTCACCAAACGGACCTCTGCACGTTGTTGTGGAGGTGTTCAGGCCACAGAGCCGTCACGGCTTTAAAGAGGCTTTCCACCAGGGTTACAGTGGTAAGAAAGAGAGGGCTCAGAGGGGCTTTGGAGCCTGGAACAGATGGATGGCTGTAGCTGATGGTGTTGTGTTTGGCCAGGATGTTCCAGTAGCACACTACCTGCTGAGAGCCAGGGGGTTTCTGGAAATCTGAGAACAGGAGCTTGTTTTTTTGCTGCTGTCAAATGATGTATAACCCTTTGAAGGAAAAGAGGAGCCAAAGATTCTTTGGTAACATGCAGTTGTACATTTTGTGCACTGTGAGGCAGGCTGTTCATCTAATCTTGAAGCCATGTGTGCAGAAAGACACTTTATTTGGGGACAAAATGACCTAATTCATATTTTGGAACACTTTGGGACACCTCAAAAATTGAAAATGTCAAACATGAACTGTGCTTCTAAAGTCTGGAAGTCGTGCTCCCAGCTCTGCGTGTGGGCGCAGTGATGCTCAAAGAAAAGAATCTGCAGCTGATGAAGTGTGGTCGCACGTTGTTGAATATATAGTTTGAGCAGCTGAGGCTAATGAAAATGGCACTGTGCTCACCTGTACGGTTTCCTGAACTAAAATATACGATTTATTTATATTTAGACCTGATATACGGAGTACAAAACACAGTGCTTCTACAAATTTTAATTTCAGTCCTCACCGCTGTCATTCAGAGGTTAGAGGTCAGGTGGTCTCACAGGATAAATGGTAAATGGACTGTACTTCTATATTAGAGCTTTTCTACCTTATCAAGTTACTCAGAGCTCTTTACAACACAACCTGTCCTCATTTACCCATTCATACATCATTTTACTAGATCTATACAAAGAATAATCAGAGCTTTATCACATTCATACACTGATGGGACACACATCGGAGGCAATGAGGGGTTCAGTGTCTTGCCCAGGGACACTTCAGCATGTGACTGTTGATGGAATCGAACCCCCAACTCTTGCATTGGAGGACGACTGCTCTAACCACTCAGCCACAGCCGCCCCAGATAAACTGCAGTTGTGCAAAGGTGGAAACGTAGTTAGCTGTTGTTAGCTATCATGGAAGGTGGTTCACAATCAACATTTTCACAACAAAAACGTTACATTTCACAAAACCAATTATATTATAACTAAAGCTGAGTAGGTAAACCCGTGTGCATACATGATAATTAACTAAGGTGAAATTATTATTAATCCATTTCTTTATGTCACAAAATTGTTAAAAAAAAATAAACTACAGAACTTAACAAAAACACAATAAACCTTTTTTAAAATCTTTAAACAGAAATGATACTGACATTCTGTACAAACTTTTATATAGAAACATAAAAATAATAGATTTGTCATGATGTGAAAAAATAAACCAGTTTTAAACCAAAGTTTGCTTCTTTCCTTTACACAAGTCAGTATTTAACCTTGGAGTGGAAACAAGGCCAGGGCTAGACTGAAGAGCTGATGGATGAAACAGAAATGATGTTAGACAGTCAGTGGAACATACAGCCAGAACCTGGTGCTGAACACGTCCATAAAAATACCCAGCATGCTTTACTTGACTCCACCTTGAATACTTTGTAAATGTTCCCTACCTTTGCCTGGGCAGCCATCTTGTTGGTAATGATTCATGCTGATTAATTATTGTTTGTAGCATCCCTAAATATAATTGCTTTAAAATATTTACGTTCTACCTTTAAACATGTCATGTCTTTATTTTGTGCTTTTAGGCCTACCTGATCGCATGCGTGTGGAACTGCTACAGATACGTGAGCGGCAGAGGTGGTTCTGAAATCCTGCTTTATGTTACGACCAACGATACCACGGTGAGCTGCGTCTGCTCAGCTTTATAGATTTAAAATGAGATTATTTTTAATAAATACAGCAGTGGAGTCCAGATTTTCAGTATATTTTTTACCATTTCCCCTGCACTCAGCTCCAAACCCATTTGTTCTCATTTTATTGAGGAGAAAACAATTTTTTTTAAATAATATTTTTAGTTAAACCTCTTGTAGCTATTTATTTTTACTTTTTACAATTTGGAGTACAACCCTAGTTCTGAAAAGGTGGGACTTTGTGTAAAATGTAAATGAAAACAGAATACGATGATCTTCAAAACTCGTAAACTCAAACATATTAAAGGTCAAATATTTAAGCTAATTTTTAAAAATATATTTTTTAGGAAAACAGTTAATTTTTTTATTTTATTAATATTTTGGATTCCATGACAGCAACACCTCTCAAAAAGGCTGTAAGTGGCACAAAACGAACATAAAAACAACTGGAGTGGCATTTTGCAGACTTTGGATAATTGGCAACAGGCCAGTTAGAGGGCTTTGCTTAAAAACCATTTAGAGAGGTAGAATCTGTAGAAGTAATGATGGGCAGAGGTTCACCAGTCTGTGATGCAATTCATCTAAAAATGGTGGAACTATTTCTTAACGAAAAAATCAAAAGACCTTGAATATCCAATCATCCACAGTCCAGGATATCATCGAAACATCTGAAGAATCTGGAAGAACCTCTGAGCTCAAAGCTGAGTCAAAACTGAGTGGTCGTAATCTTTTGGCCCTCGGGGGCCACCACAATCACAACAGGTCCAGGACATCACCGCATGGGCTCAGGAACATTTCCACAAAACAACGCCTGTAAACACAGTTCACCACATCATCCCCATGCTGTCCGCCAGGCAAACAAGAAGCCACGTGTGGACACCATCCAGAGATGCAGCCGTCTTCTCTGGACCAGAGCTCGTTTAAAACGCACTGAGGCGAAGTGAAAATATCATCAGCATACTTGATGACCATATTATTGTCCTGTGTGGAAGTGCAGTTGTGTGTATATAATGTGAAGAGCTTAGGACCGAGGCAGCAGCCCTGTGGGACCCCTGTGCTGACTATGAGCTCAGCAGAAATCCAACCTGTGGTCTCTGAGAAGAAGTCCAAAATCCAGTTTGTGGTGGGGGTTGGTATTCCCAGATCTGCCAGTTTTTCATTGAGCTTCAATGGTCTGATTGTATTTAAGGCAGAGCTATAATCCAGGAACAGGAGCTGTGCGTAGGTGTTAGGACTATCCAGATGTTTCAGGATATGATGCAAAGACAGAGCCACAGCATCATCCACCAATGTATTGAGGTGCATTTGTGCCTTTGGCTTGCACATCTGGAAAAACACCATCGATGTAAAAAAAAAAAAAAAAAGGACTTGAACAAAATGTGCTCACAACTAGATGACATTTTGCAGAGAAGACCGTGCATATTTTTGCAAGACCATGTTGAACCATAGACTGCATCCTTTACAACAGCATGGCTACAAAGTCCAGGTCCAAGTCCAGATGCTGAACTGACTGGTCTGCAGTCCAGACCTCTCATCAGCTGAAAACGTTTGACGCATCATGAAGAAAACCCCAGGACTGTTGAACATCTCCTCCATCAGACAAGAATGGGACAACATTCCCTCCAAAACCTTTAACAACTGGTCTCCTCACTTCCTGGTCATTTACAGACAAAATTACCTTTTTTTTTTTTAACATGGTACAATTTCATACCAACAATGTTTACTGTGTCCCACTGTGAACTAAAGTGGGTTTGTGAGATTTTTAAGTCCTTGGATTCTGTTTTAATTTATGTTTTCACAACATCCCAACTCTTTTGGTCCCGGGGTTGTAAATATCTGCTCAGGTCGAGTCAGATCTAAATTTATTGACAGTGTAGTTGTTTGTAGTGATTATTAATTGATCCTATGTATCACAGAGAAATCAGAGGAGGTCGATGCTTTGTATTATCAGGTACATCTGAGTGTTTGCTGCTGCAGACTCTGTCATGGACACTGTGCATCACAAGCTGTCATCAAAGCTTTATAATAAGTGCATCACTGTGAATGTGTGCAATCCAATGTGTTTTCATACACTGTTGCCTCATCCAGGGTCTTTTTAACAATCCTTTATGTCTAACTCCCCAGTTCAGGATACAGGATTAAACATCTTATCTTGATTTATTTCCTTCTCCCATTTCCAAAGTCAACGAAACAACTCACAAATGTGGAAAAATGATTTCCTCACTCAGTCCAGACCAGTAGTCAGGCTTTATTATCTGCGTAGGTTTCCTGTGTTCAGACCGGCTTGGCATCTGTGAAGCCATCATGTTGAAGGGAGGAAGGAAACATAAAGCCGGGTTGTTGTAGCGGGAGCTTTTACAGAGGCCGCAGCAGCAGGGGTGGACAGACGAGGCTCAGTGCTGGCAAAGCCATTAGGATGGCTGCTGGGACTCGTCCGTACAGTAAGTGAGATCTGTCAGCAAGCTTTTGTCCTCCTGTTGGTGTCCTGTTACCCAGATCTGGCCCTCAGACCACTGTAACCCACACACTTGCTATAACCACTCATACAGAGTCAGGAGGGAGACACAACGAGGTGTAACTGCTCCAATGAGCTGTTTGGACTGTCAGCTGAAGCTCACGGGGAGCTCTCAACATCTGGCCCCACCTGTCTGTTTAACCTTACATATGGGTTTCACAGATATCGTGGTGAACGTGCCTCCCAGCCTGCAGCTTAAAACTCCTCAGAGTGACAAATTTGACACAGTTTGAAACATCTCGACGCATTGTGTGGTTTTATGTGATGCTGTGGGCTTTTAAGAAGCAGAGACGTAAGCAGGTCTTGATATGTTAAACATCTGGACGGCGACGGGAGAATCACAGTCTTCTTTTGAGCTCACGGTAACAAATAAAAGCACCAGAAAAACAAGAACTTGTCATTTTATATCTCAACATGTGCCTCATGTCTGCAGGTTAGAGCCAGGTATTTTCTGTTAGAGCTCCCCACAGGCGGCCGCAGCTTTGTGGCTTTTGGTTCACAGCTCGGATGGCGGACCATTACTGATACAGCAGTTAGGTCAAAAGTCCACTAATGCAGTCCACATGAGACAGTTTTCAGGACATGCGTAAGAGCCATTAACACCCACACAGTCAGAGACTTATTTGACTTTAAAGAAACAACGAGTCGCCCTGAGCTACGTCAGAGAGGGAAATGAGAGTAATATTTCTTTATAAAGGTTGCTGACTCTTGGGAAGCCCCTCCATGTTTAGTTAAAATGTCTCAGCATATCTTTCAGGATACACATGCATTAACAGAAGGTTGTCTTCTGAAGTGAAGTGAAGGCTGCAGAAACTATCAGCTGAAACCATGTGTGTCACTCTAATTTTCTCCAAACTCTTCTTTCTGGTGAAATTCAAACTAAAGCAATAAAGAAAATAATTGACTTGAATAACGTTTAGTGTGAAAATGGAAAATAATCATTGTGAATGTGAAGCACAGCATCAGCTGTGTGAATAAGAGAGTTTCTGGTCATCACCAGGTCTTGCAGTGATGTCACTACGACCTCAGGTGACCTGTGCTGGACCGTGTCACGGTCTGAGCAAAGTTGCTGAAGCTCCACAAAACTTCTGGAACTGTTCTTTTAATGAGACAAAACCAAATTAGGAGTTGTTTGGTTTTAACACACAGCAGTTCATTAAGTGTCAGTCAGGACAGCAGATCAGAGCAAACACCTTATGCCAACTGTTGAGCACGGTGGTGGAGGGCTGATGATCTGGGCTTGTTTTGCAGGCACCTCCAAGTCACTGAGTCAAACCATGAACTGCTCTGGAGACCAAATTGTTCTAGAGCCAAATGTGAGGATATCTGTCTGACAGCTGGAGCGTGGCTAAAAGCTACAATGGCTAGAATAAAACCAGGAGCAGCAGCAAATCGAAAGCAAAATGGCTGAGAGAAAATAAATGACGTCTTCTAAACATTTCAGATGAAATCCTGACTAGTTCTAAAGAGAGCTGAGCAGGAACAAGTGTCCAAGAATTTAAATAAATGTAAAGAAGAGTGGGCCAAAGTCCTTCTATGCTGATGACAGAACGTGGCGAGGTCATACAGAAGACTTGGAATTATCAATGGCTACAAATTTCTGGATTACAGAAGTAAAGGGATAGTTCAGCCATTTCACTCTGTGTGTTTGCTGAATGCAGCTGTGTGGCAGACCTGGTCTGCACCACGAACCTGTCACCATCATGGCTGTAGCTCAGACATGAAGCCAGTGGGGCGTCAGATTCTTACAAACCACACCATGATAATAAACCACCATGACCTCACTACAAAGGTTTTGAGCATGCTCAGAACCATTATGGATCGATCTATCTAGCACACAGGGAAGACCTCTGTGTTCTTAATACGTGCCTGAAGGCCTCGCTAAGACCCTGCAAAGGCCATCCATGTTCTGACCGATTTTCTTTTTCACATCATCCGTTGTCAAAAGAAGCTTCACCAAAACTGGCAAAGCAGCAAAAACATACAATAAAGACCTAAAACTTCTTACAGAAATGCATATGGACTGATGTTGATGATGAGGTTTCTTTATTTGTCATTTGCACCACACGTGGTACATGTGGTGGAACGAAATTGTGTACACAGGGTCCCAGTTACATCCAACAAAAAGTATAAAATGTAAAAGAAAAGCAGTAATAAGATTTAAGATATGACCAAAGAAATACGTTAAACTAAACATACACTAAGCACTACTGGTACAAAAACAATATGTCGAACAGCAGCAGCACGAACATGAGTCTGCGTGAGTAGATGAGTATGAATGAACACAGCAGCATGAAATAAATCAGCAGCATGAAATAAATCAGCAGCATGAAATAAATCAGCAGCATGAATAGTCAGCAGCGCATATCAACAGTCAAGTGGCATCACAGTGATTATTCTGATTAGAGACTCATGAGTCTAACAGCCCAAGCTGTTCCTCAGTCTAGTGGTTCTACACTTAATGCTCCTCAACCTCCTTCCTGAGGGGAGCGGGGCATAAAGTGTGTGTGCTGGGTGAGTGAGGTCCTTCATGATGCAGGTGGACCCCTTCCTGCATCTGGAGGTGTAGATGTCTGTGATGGTGGGGAGACTGACTCCAACATCTTCTGTGCAGCCTTCACCACTCTCTGCAAAGCTTTTCTTTCTGCAGCTGTGCAGCCTCCATGCCACACGTTGATGCTGGAACACAGGATGCTCTCCACTGCACACCTGTAGAAGGAGGTGAGGACTGAGCTTCCCAGACCAGCTCGTCTCAGCCGCCTGAGGAAGTAGAGTCTCTGATGAGCTTTCTTGATCAGGCTGGTGGTGTTGTTGCTCCAGCTGAGGTTCATTCATATGTACACGCAAGTGCTTGTAGCTGGAGACCACTTTCACTGCAGATCCTCTTATATTCAGAGGGTGGTGGGGTTGTTCCGTCTGGAATCCACGACCATCTCCTTCACATTGATGTGAAGGTTGTTCTTCCTGTGCCAACTCTCTTTAAAATAAAAGCTAAATCAATGCTAACCAAAGACTATTGTCTCCTTTTCTGTCCACCTCATGTCCAGGTGCTGCTTCCTCCATATGATGACAACGTCAGCGTCCCTCCCAAACAGGCTCCTCCAGCCTACACCTGTGCTACAGCATGAAAACATTCCCAGCCTCCTGCTGTTGATAATGCACCACACTGCCTCTTCCGTGAACATTTTATTCCTAAATCTAACGTAGCATACAGATGTCCATATCCATCTTATGTCCACATGCATTCACCACCACGTGACCTGCCGTGTCTCCCTGGTATAACTGACAAACTTAGATCTTCCTCTGTTCAGTTTCGGGTCGTATCATTCCTGACATCTCTCAGTATTTTTATGCGTTTGGATCCTGGTGAAACAACAAATAGATGCTGTAGAAAGTTTGGCAATATATATTTTTAATAATCATTTGTGCTGTGTGTCTGTATTAGTATCATGTAGTTCCTGTAGAGACATGTTTGTCTTATGCACTAATGCAACCGTGACGAGCTCGTCGTCCACCGTAATGAAGCGTCAGAGTGTGAGACGTCATCGTGTGTTTGCTTTCGTCTCTGCTCGTGATCAGGGTTGAACTGCCTTCGTTCACAACTTTCTTTCTACAGAGGTGCACTTTATCGGCTCACGTATGAAGCGTCACCTGAAAGTTTCCCAAAGAGAAGTATCTGCCTGTATTCTGACATGAACAAAGAGCAGCCTCGTGCACATCAAACGTATCGCCCTCTTAGATGTTCTTTCTGCTGCAAACACTAATGTGTGATCACAATCAGTAGTGTTGAATTGTGTGTTAACCTTTAAATGTGTGTTTTTACTGATCGACAAGAAATGTCTTCGACTGATGCAAGTCTATTTTTAAAGCAAAGAAGCACTGATCTGGAATCAGCTGGCTCTTTGGAGTGCTGTTTGATAAATGTGAACCCTGGTTATGTTTTTTCAATCAAGCCAAGGGGAGTTTGGTGTAAGCATGAGCCTGTTCCAGCAGAAGCACTGCTCCATGGAAACTAAGTGTCCTGCAAGTCAAACTGGAGGACCATTCCTGCATGGACAATAAAGAGATGACATTTATTTGTCTAATAAAATAACATTTCATAAATGTTGTGTTTCATTTGGAAGAGTTAAAGCTTCGACGTAAACCTGAAGATGAACTTGTTGAGCTGATGGTCGTAGCTGGATAGTTCTCATTCTTCTGTTTCAGTCATGATCTTCTATTTGTTACTCCCACAAATAATAAGTTGTTAGAAATAGTGACTTTTAGTGCATCACACAACGTAGACTAAATAAGGAAAAACTGCTATTTCCCCCCACATACTGTAGACATCACAGATTTAGGTGAAATTCATTCAACCTTTATTTAGACTGGTTAATCCCATTGAACCTCGGGGACTCATTTACAAGAGAGACCTGAGAAATAAGTGACGACTTTAACTCAGGCTAATCTTCATCGCTCAAAGTATAAATTAATTGATACCATCCATTCATCCATTATCTTTACCCACTTTTCCCTTTTCGGGTCACTGGTGTCCATATCCAGCACTGTGTGAGAGGCAGGGGACACCCTGGACAGGTCTCCAGTCCATCACAGAGACACATGGAGACAAACGAGACAACCATTCACTCTCTCACTCACACCTAGGGACAATTTAGTTACCAGCACACCATGCCACTTTATAAAGCACTTTAAAACAGCAACAAGGCCAACCAAAGTGCTGCACAGACAAAAAAAACTAAGAACACAACATAAATCCACAGAGGTAAAGATAAGAAACTAAATAACTAAAATTATATATTACAAAGAAGTTACAATCAACTTATACAGGGTCGAAGACCAGGGAATAAAAGTGAGTTTTTAAATGAGACTTAAAAACAGTGAGAGAGGGAGCCTGCCTGACATGCGGTGTAACTCAGGCCACAGTTTTGGACCTGCAGCAGAGAAGGTTGTGTCACCTCTGAGATTAAAACGAGTTCCTGGAACCAATAAAACCTCGGAGAGCACTGTGGGACTAGGGTTGCCAACTCCTTGAAAAATATATAAGGGACACCTCATGGCAGGGCTGGCTGACCCCATTACCTTCACCCCTCCCAGCGTGATGATTCACCCCTCCCTCCCCCTCTGCTCTTCTTGCTCTGAAATGAACCTGAATTTAATTGGATGCATGTTTTTGAATGTTAAAAATATGCATAGAACGTTAATTTTTGCACAATTTAACAATTTATTTTGAGTGCAAATAGAATTACCAGAGTAAACATATATCTAAAAATAATTTATATTTCTTAAACATTCTTTTGTTCTTCTTAGCTGAAAAAAGTATTAACATAAAGTAATAAGAACATTTGTGTAATAATGCATTTAGTGTAAACATAAAGTTTGTAGGAAATTTGTAAACAAACACATTGTGCCTCAAAAGCCATGACTTTCCACGTGTAGTAAAAAAAGAACGTGTAAACTAAAAAGGGCAATGCTCCATCATGTGGGGTCAACCAGTTTCTTCCATTTGTATTTGTGTAGAGTTTGTGCTGCAGTAAGGAGTGCTTTGTTTTTCAGAGCCCAAGAGTAAAACTCTGAGCAAGACGTTTCATCATTTAGACTGACAATGAGCTCATTTCTAATTAGTTCCGAAGAACATTTGTTTCACATCAGTCCACTTATTTTTCATGAGAGAGAGACCATCCTTTCTACAAATCCAGTGGAAGATGGGACGAGGACAAAGGATACAACAGCTGGATGTTGGGGAGGTCAGCTGCCTGAAGAACTTCATCCACCTCTCTGCTGTTTCCTTGGACTGACACCTTTTCCTGAGCTTCTGTGGTGAGGTGCTGCAGTCACACATTCCTCATGAAGCTCATCCACAGACATGCTTAGCCTGCCAGGAGGAGTGAAAAGTTTTATGATCCGAGTTCACTTGAGGCACATGGATCATGTACAGTGGTAAATAAATGGGAACAAATATTTGTTTATCTTTAGAATTTTGCATCATATCCTAACTCCCTTTTGACATTACTTTAATACATCATATATAAACTGTTTTTTATATGTATATAAGTATGCATTTATTTGTATAATGTAAAGTAAGTTTGATCAGGTATTTTTTTCATTCAACCTTTATTTAGGCAGGTAAATCCCATTGAGCCCCGAGGACTCATTTAAAAGAGAGACCTGATTTTAACAAAGAATGATGACAACAATGGACAACAGCAACAACAATAGACAGTTATAAAAAGTCATACAGATTTGCTTTTGTTTTTTTACAAATAAGATTGCAAAAACAGTAACAAAAACAGCTAGATTCTAAGGCGAATGTAGAAACTAAAAACAGGAACATGTCTGCATTGGTCCCTGCCAGGAGTACAACAGATTTTTAAAGCCACTTAGAGAGGTCAAGGTCGAGAGCTTCAAATCTTTTTGTAAGATATTCCAGGAAACAGGAGCGGAGTAGGAGAAGGCCCTCTTGCCTAGTTCAGTCCTCACTGAGGGAACACTGCAGGTAATAATCAGACATGTAGCTAAGCTCAAGCCAGTGTTGTCCAGACCCGACCTTGAGAAACTAGTCCACGCCTTTGTCACGACCCGATTGGACTATTGCAAAGCACTCTATGCAGGGATCAGCCAGGCCTCCATCTCACGTCTTCAGCTCGTCCAGAATGCTGCAGCTCGGCTTTTAACCAGAACTCGTAGGTCTGAACATATTACTCCAGTTCTGTCCTCCCTTCACTGGCTCCCTGTTCGTACGAGGATAGTCTTTAAAATTCTTCTGTTGACCTTCAAATGTCTTAATGGCCTCGCACCCCTTTACCTATCTGAGCTTCTGGAACCTTATGTTCCCTCTCGGACCCTGAGATCATCTGATCAGCTGCTTTTGGCTGTTCCAAAAACAAGACTGAAGCTCAGAGGAGATCGAGCTTTTTCAGTCATGGGCCCCAAACTCTGGAACAACCTGCCCCCCAGCATCAGGCAGGCCACCTCCATTCCTCACTTCAAATCTCTGCTAAAAACACATCTGTTCTCTCAGGCATTTCATACAGTGTAAATTGATCAGAGAGTCAGAGTCAGAGTTTCTTTATTGTCATTCGCACCTCATGTGGTACATGTGGTGGAGCGAAATTATGTACACAGGGTCCCAGTTACATCCAACAATAAAATGTATAAGAAAAACAGTAATAACATCTAAGATATGAATTAAGAAAAACATCAACTAAATATACACTAAGCACTCATAACATAAAACATTGTTACATGTTTGTGCTGATGTTCACATTGTGAACATCAGCACAAACATGAACATGAGTCTGTGTGAGCGGATGTGCACGTATGAACACATCAACATTGAAACAGATCAGCAGCAACATGAAACAGATCAGCAGCAACATGAAACAGATCAGCAGCAACATGATATGGTTTTTCACAGTGATTATTCTAGTTAGATTCATGAGTCTAGCAGCCTCAGGGTAGAAGCTGTTCCTCAGTCTAGTGGTTCTACACTTAATGCTCCTTAACCTCCTTCCTGAGGGGAGTGGGGCAAAAAGTGTGTGTGCTGGGTGAGTGAGGTCCTTCATGATGCAGGTGGCCCTCTTCCTGCATCTGGAGGTGTAGATGTCTGTGATGGTGGGGAGGCTGATTCCGACAGACTTCTGTGCAGCCTTCACCACTCTCTGCAAAGCTTTTCTTTCTGCAGCTGTGCAGCCTCCATGCCACATGTTGATGCTGGAGCACAGGATGCTCTCCACTGCACACCTGCAGAAGGAGGTGAGGACTGAGCTTCCCAGACCAGCTCGCCTCAGCCGTCTGAGGAAGTAGAGTCTCTGATGAGCTTTCTAGTGTTTTCTAGTGTGATCTAGTGTTTTTTAATCTGTGACCCTGTTTTAAATGTTTTTTTATTAAATCTTCAGTTATTATTATTAGTGTATTGTATTTTTTTCTCTTTAATTTTACTCCCATTGATTGTTGTTGTTAAGCACTTTGATAACAGGTTCTGTTTTAAATGTGCTCTATAAATAAAGTTGACTTGACTTAATATAATTTATTTGTATATATCAGTTGTGTCCATTTGTATATAACATTAATAAAACATGGTTCATCTTCACCTTGTTTGAGGCATCGGTGTGAAGAGAGAATGGGAGTGGGTTGCTTCCAATTTTCCATTTTTGGACCACTTCTTCTGTTGCATTTGGACACAGGACATCTTCAGGACATGGGTGACCTCAGCCTTCGTCCTCCCACAGGACATCTTCAGGACAATGCTCGAGTCATTCAGTGTTTGGAGAGTCAGCTTAAATCCACAGTCGACAGAGTTGTAACTTAAAGTGTGGACTATTTCTTCAGTAATCTGTAATCAGAAACAGGAAATACTACTTTGTATATAAATTCATTTGTGTATTTTTTAATTAATCTATTTTATGTATTCATTTTTAATTCTACTTGTTTATCAAAATAAAAAATATATCTTTGGCCTTTAATGCTTACTTTTATTGCACTTCACACATTAAACTTATCCTTTTTTAATATTATAATTATTTTACATACCATATCTGCCTCTGGCGTTGCCCGGTGGACAACATGCTGGTCAAGAGTTCTCCTGGTTTAGTTGTCTTTCACATTTCTTATGTGTCCAGCGGTGGAAGCTGTTTGACATCAAACTGTTCACCACGGGCTACAGACAAAGTACGGTGCACTTTATAGCCATTATTGTGCACTCTTTCCAGCCACACGTGTTGTTCCTTTTCCCACTCGATTCTGTATTTTTGCAGCCGTTTCTATTTTTTTCTGGGAGGAGTAGTCGAGTTGTTGATGGAAGATGAACCGTGTGTGCTGTTTAAATCCTCTGAATTCCTGCCGCTCGCATCCATGATGCCTTGATGTTGAATCCCGT